TCGATCTAGGCACTGTGCAGCGACTCTCTGAAAGATTAAAAAAATGTCTCCAGTGCATGATGACATTCAGCTGCACACACACAATGTTTAACACACTGCTATTGACTTCTATGTAATCACACAGATAGATATGCGAGGGAGATTTCTTGACCATTTGTCTCTTTATAGCCACCAAATCAGCTCAGCCCAAAGCATGCTCACGTGAAGTGTTTGCTCTTTTGCCTTAGTGTCACATTTGATCAAATCTCCAAAGAATCAGACGCATTTAGTGCTGTGTGTCTGGTGTGTTATGATGCTTTGTTGTTGCCTCATCTTAACGTGTATTTCTCTATCTCATCCCTCCCTTCTCGCCCCTCTCTTCCCTTTGGCTGCTTCCTCGCTGATGCTTGGAATCAATCTGCTTATCAGGACATATCTGCTGGATGGGTTAATATCAATTTTTATTTCCAATATAGATGTGATTTGAGTGTCTGATGATTCAGTGTGTGGGTGTTAAAAACTGAGAAGTTGTTGTTATTATGGGTTAACAGAAGAGGTTGTTTTTGATAGTCTGTACCCTTTAAAGGTCACATATTCTCCTCCTCATCAACCACTTTAAATAATTCTCAGAGCTCCGCAAAACATGTGTGTGATGTTTCTTGTTCTAAATCCACTCTGATCCTGTATGTGATCATGTCTATAAACCCCTCTATTTCAGCCCTGCTCAGAACAGGCTGTTTCTGTGTCTGTACCTTTAAATATGTAAATGAGCTGCGTCTGACCACGCCCCTCTCTGGAAAGACTTGGGTGTACTCGGTCTTTCTCGCTCCATGTCCTATTGTTTACGGTGAGAAGGCAGACTCAGGGCAGAACAAACTCCTAGCTGTGGGAGTGACACCCACCTGGGGGAGGGGTTACTGCCCTTTGTGATGTCATGAAGGGAAAATCTCCACACGGCCTGTTTGAACACACATTTACTTAAAAGTGGAGTTGGCAAAAGACGGAGAGGATGGATTTTTCTCATCATTGGGGGGTTTGAAGACAGACCAGAGACACATATTAGAGTTAGAGGAACATGGTGGAGTGGATTTTACAGAATATGTGACCTTTAAAGTTCCCCTTTTTCCTCCATGATTCTTTCTGGATATTTCTTTGTGTTCTTTGTTTTCTTGTCTGCTGTGTAATCTCTCCTCCTTCCTCCTCCTCCTCCTCCTCCTCTCTTAATAGCATAGCCTATCGTCGGGTTATCTGTGTCTATCAGTACCAGGTTGCTGATGATCTTTCTGGAAGGTCAACGCTCTTTAAGCTTTTTGCTTTTTGCTTCCCCTGACCCACACAGACCATCAGGTCATCTGTGTGACTTCATGCACTTCAGTCTAAAACCACCATGTTGGACTGTGATGTGCACAGTAGACCCCCCCCACAGGACTAACACTCACCCAGTCCTCCAACTCAAAAACCAGACTCAACGGGCTGGATGTCACTTTGTTTACCTCAGGGATGGAAACTGCAAATATCATCAAATATGTGTGCAACTTCACTTTTCTAAACTGAAAGAAATTGTCCTTAAGTGATATTTGCCATCATTTAATTAAATTTCTCATGTGTGCAGTAACTCCAGGCTTCACTCTCCGTAATCAGTAACACAGACTTCCATATTCATGAAGAACTAATCTGCAGTTTCCACTCCTGTGTGCAGTAGCCCTAACCTTGCATGGTTTGGGTTACCTGTAGATTTTTATAAGTATCACATTCAAGTTTAAAAATCTGTCTTGTTGATGAAACCTACTTGAAACTACACACAGTAGAAACTAGTTCACCTGCAGACACTTGTTCTCATCATAGTTTATAGATTTCTGTGGGAGTGCTGGGTGTTTAAGAGTATGTGTGTGCTGTATTTTACCGCCTGTACCGTCTCCTGTCTAACATCACTCTGTGTGTTTGTGCGTCAGGTCGTGTATGGTGGAAGAGTCTGGAACCCTGGAGTCCCAGCTGGAGGCCACAAAGGTAAATATCACACACCAGGATTCTGTTAGGCAGGTTTCTCTAAACGCAGCATGAAACCAAACAGATACTTAAAATAACCTCGCTCAAATCTCGCTGATTTGTTGTGGTTTTTTTCAGCGTTTTGAGCTTTTACCCTGGTCCAGCTTGTTTTTTATAAATATAATTGAAAACATGAACAGTGTTTTGTTTTGTAAATTGGCTGGATTAACTGTAACATTCCTGTTTGTGCGGAGATAGAACTTTATTTAGAGGACTCGCATAATGAAACCTTTTATCATCGTATCCTATTTTTTGAAATGTTAAAATGAGCTACCTAATTCTGTTCCTCCCTGAACCGCTAAAATATGGTTACATAACCTAGCCCTGCCCTAGCAGGCATGCATCAATGTGTTTTATTTGACACATAACGTTTAAGTTCTGGTTGTGATCTTGAGATCTCAAGATATTATGTTGTCATCGAGGGGACACAAGTATTCTTATCCCGAGAAAACGTGATAAATAACGACCAGAGATCCGAAAAACAACAACCAAAATTCACTTTTTATCTTTGGAAACGGAGTAAACAAATGCTGAGAGCTTCTGCACGCTTCCAGACTCCATTGATAAAAACACCTGTTTGACCTCGCTGACCATGAGAGATGATGGTTGATTATTATTGTTGTGTTATTGTGTGTTATGTTTGTTGATGGATCTGAAGTAACTGTTAGTAAACGTTGCACAGCCGAGTCATCCCTAGAGGATGGGTAGTCAAAGACTGACCTCGTTAGCAGAATTTGTTTTGATGCATTTTGTGTGTCTGCGTGTGTGTGTTCAGCGTAAGCACCAGGAGATCCGGGCCATGCGCAGCCAGCTAAAGAAGATTGAGGACCTGGGAGCAGCTATGGAGGAGGCACTGATCCTGGACAACAAGTACACAGAGCACAGCACGGTGGGACTGGCCCAGCAGTGGGACCAACTGGACCAACTGGGAATGAGGATGCAGCACAACCTGGAGCAACAGATACAGGCCAGGTACACAACAACACAACACTTAAACCATCAGGCTTCATGTATACAGCAAAGTTGGTCTCATGACTCCCCCCCCCTTTGTCTTTCAGGAACACCACTGGAGTGACAGAGGAGGCTCTGAAGGAGTTCAGCATGATGTTCAAGTAAGAGACCTGATTCTGTCTTTATATATTCTTTATTTTCACAACAGGGACAAGAAACCTTCAGGGCGTGTCCCCCACATCGATGAGGGTCTAAGTTCAGGACACTTTATTCTACACCCCACATACTTTTACAGCTCCTGCTCAAGGGTCAAAATAGTCAGGAAGTTATTGTGCTGAAAGATTCTGATTGGTCAAAGCAACAATAGGATTTCCGTTTGGTGCTCTTTGGTGCCCACTGATGGTTTCTGATTGTAACTGCATCTCTTGGTAGAACCTCCCTGCAGCTGAACTTACAAAGTGCTAGAAGTAGAACTAGACTGACTTTGAAACTATTTTATGATGGAAAAGTTGTGTATTTACTAACAGCACATCATTTTGACTGGCCTTTTTTATAACCTTTAGACTTATACTCCCTTTTTAAGCTCCCTTGTTTTCTTTGATGGCTTAACTACGGCAGTATGAACTCAAAATAAACATTTAGTTTCTGTGATTTAATTTAAAAAAAACATGTCACAATGATGCTACAGAAGCTACATCTTTAATGCAGATTTTTTAAAGTCTGAATTCACTTCCTGCCAGGTCGGCCTGCAGGGTGAGACATATTTACAAATACTTTTTGGTAGGTAGAGTTTGGCTTGAACATTGTTGGTGTGACATCAGGAGAAGCTCTGCACTGATAGGCCGACACAGCATCATGCACATTATTTGCTGAAGTTGAGAAATTCTAAAGGCACCAATTTGTATGAAATAAGGCCGTGTGAAATCCCAGCTCTGAGTGGTCAGAAGATCTTTACAGAAAAAAAGTCAAGGCCCGGTTTGTCAGGAGGGAATCCAGTGGGTGTTGTATTTGGTGACTCAAAAATGAAGTCTATCCTCATCTCCTGTTGATGTTCAGGCACTTTGACAAAGAGAAGTCGGGCCGTCTGAACCACCAGGAGTTCAAGTCGTGTTTACGCTCGCTGGGTTACGACCTGCCCATGGTGGAGGAAGGAGAACCGGATCCTGAGTTTGAAGCCATACTCGACACGGTGGATCCCAACAGGTGCGTCACAGGTTCAGTATCGATGCAGACGTTATCCAGTGCGACTGTTTGATTTGTCTTAACGGGGAGGGATCTTGGGTTTGTGTGTGCGTGCAGGGATGGAAACGTGTCGCTGCAGGAGTACATGGCGTTCATGATCAGCCGGGAGACGGAGAACGTGAAGTCGAGCGAGGAGATCGAGAGCGCCTTCAGAGCTCTGAGCACAGAGAACAAACCCTACGTCACTAAAGAAGAGCTCTACCAGGTCAGACGGGTTCCCCCGCTCGCTCTCTGCTCTCAGATTGTGTGTCGGGTCTTCATGCAGGTCTAACTGTCCCCCTTCTGTCTTCCAGAACCTGAGCAAGGAACAGGCGGACTACTGCCTGTCGCACATGAAGCCGTACCTCGACAGCAAGGGCCGCGAGCTGCCGTCGGCCTTCGACTTTGTGGAGTTCACCCGCTCGCTGTTTGTCAACTGATCCCCGCCCCCCCAGTGACCAATCGGGACGCGTTTTCCCTCACACACTTGGACACGAACACACGGCTGAAACTGCATGATCGTGGCACTACTCACTAATAACAACTCTGTACTATTTATCTCGCTCCGCCCTAACTCTGTGTGCTTCTCATCATAGCATAGTGGATCTGTCTGCATTTGAATGTGATTGTTTTTAGCTGGATTAGCTCGTGCTTTCCATGAATTGAAGAACCTCGTATTAACAATAATGTCGTAACAACACCCGAACAACTGAGTGTGCTTTAATAAACGCTACTGGTTAGAACTGGAAACCAAAGCTCTCTTGTTTTTATTTCACCTCCACTTAAATCAGTCCCCACGCTGCAGTCTTCACACGTCTCATTCTGCCACCTGATTGGCTATCTGCTCCAGCTGGCTGCTCTCTCTGGGGTTCTGCTCCGTCAGCTCCGTGCTCAGCTGCCAGACAGCGACTGTCCCGTTTGTTTTCCCCACCGCCAGCTGGCGAGGGTTCTGATGGTTGAAGGACAAACATGTCGCCGCGTGTCCCGCTCCCCCTTCTTCGATGGTGGCGGCCGGCCTCAGAGACCTGCGGCCCAGGTCGAATATCTGCACCTCACCTGAGAGAGACAACATCTGTGTTACACCTCAAAGTACTGATGCTTCATTTATGACACAACATCGACCTGCACTGTTCGTGTCAGGTTATGAATGCTTCAAGATAATATCCTGCGTGTTCTTGATTGACAGGTCTGTTTGGTGCAACCATCAAACAGCTGCTTTATAAAACCGCTATTAGCAGTTACTTTAGCAACAAATGAAGTCCTGCGGATCAGAAAGAAGGATGGTAACCAATCACGGGGAGATTTATTTTCATAAAATATAATCCAAAAACTCTTTCTGTACAATTTACACAGATGTGGATTTAGAAAGTAGACGGTCGACAATGACTGAATCTAAACTGAATTTCAGTGCCCCAAATCATATTTTCCAAAAAGCTGTAGCCACCATTTTTTTTTTTTTTACAAGATCCACATGAAGCAGATCTCTGAACGGCAGACTAGGCTAGGCAAAACTAGGCTTACAAATACAGAACCAGATTAAAGAACAAGTTATTTTTTTTAAATATTAAATTGTTAAAAATAAGACAAAGAACTGACATCTTCTTAATTTGAAGCTGATGTGGGATGTATAAATTCACAACAATAACTTGGGTATAGGAAATAAAGCATGTTGCGTACCTTGCCCCGTGGCTGCAGCAAACACCAGCGGTCGGGTTGGAGACCACTGCACCTGGAACACGTACGAGTCTGACACCCGGAGAGAGAGCAGCGGGTCGACCTGCAGCAGAGAGTGCAGGTGAGCCAGGCCGTCCGTCCCCGTGCTCACAAACAGGTTCCTGCAGAGACATGAAATCTCCTGTTCAGTCTCCTGTTAAACACCTGCTGACGTCAATAAACGAGTGGGCGTCTCTCACCTGTGGAAAGGGGAGCAGTGGATGGAGTGGACCGGCCCTCTGCGGGGCCTGAAGGAGAACACCGCGGGGGCTCTGGGAGTCACACTCTGACCTTCAGAAGGAACAGCGGCCGGAGTCTGAGCGGAGAAGGAGCAGCGGAGCAGGAGGCCGCCCTCAGAACCGACCAGGAAGGTGTCAGAGTCCCAGGGAGAGAGAGCCAGAGAGGTGACGCCCACGGTGCTGCTGCCCCGCACCTAAAGGAGACACACACACAAAAATAAAAGTTTGTTGTTCAGTCCACTCAACACAGCCTGGGAAGCATTTAATGATGTTGCTTAATAACTTTGTGAGCTTTCAAAGTCTGATTTGTTAACCAAACGAGTGGAAATTTTAAATGTTAGCCTGATGCACGTTGAGGATCCTGAACTCAGCACAAACTTACTGAAGCAGAGAACAGCTGTGTGAGGCAATAACTCCTTTTAAGAGGTCATTAGTTTGATGTCTTGAAATAAGAAAGTTCATTTTGTCATAACAGCTGAGTATATGTTGTTATGATGAGAGAACTACAGTCACATTTCTACACATAAAAAGAATTGATCATGAGGATTTAATCATTTCTTTGTCTTCTTAAAATGAAAAGACTTTCTATTAAGATAGTTTTTGTTTTCTAACATTCATGAGTTGATCATCCTTCATCCCCATGGCAACCAGATTACTAAATGCTCCTGTACACGCTGCTCCAAACAGAGAGACACGAGCAGGACTACTGAGTACATCCTTCAGGATATACAGACCTTCAAAATAAAAGGTACATTCTTTCATCCTCAGTTCAGTTTTGTTTCCAGCGTCTCCCTTCTTCTCCTCGGAGTCTCACCTTGAAGCTGCTGCTGTGAGGAACCTGCTGTCTCACGAACGCGTACGCAGCGTTCAGGACGAATGCGTTCTGATCAGAGTCCACCGTCCACAGCAGAACCTGACCTCTGGAGCTCGCACTCAGCACGCCGAACTCTCCTTTCTTCTGCAGGGGCACCCAGGAAACCTTTAAGAACAGAGGACATGATTTGTGTTATACATGGCGGCTTGTGCCTCAGTATAAAATCACAATCCTCAGCCTCATGCAACATACCGATACAGGTTAGTGAAAGTTAACAACAGGAACTGTGCAGATCTCTAAGAACAACATGAATCACAGGAAGAAGAATTCTAAAAATATAAAACTGGGGCCGTATTCAAAAAAGCATCCTGAAAATGTGGCTCTGCGGGGCTCTTTTGTCTGTAATGTTTGAATAGAAAGCCAAACAGATTGTGTGTACTCACCTGATACACCGGCTCTCTGTGGCTGTCTGCTGACATCCCAGTTTGGACCAGCACGGGGTCCTGAGTCTGACTGGTGTCCCAGACCACCACCTCCCCAGTGTACAGACCCCCTGCAAACACACAAACAAAACACAGCTACTTTTAACCCTTTCAGCTCCATTTACTTTACCTCCCTGAACTGAACCCTGTCTCACTGATGTCATCCACTGAAGCAGTTTTTTTAAAGCCTGACGGTCAGGGTCGCCATATTGGAAATGCTGTCTCAAACTAAATTGTGAGGCAAGGCATGACATAAAAAAACGACGCATAGGTGGCAGGCAAAGCAACAGAGTCCTCTACGACTTTCTGCAGAATAAATACCAGGAGGCTGGAGGACAAACTCTGGATATAGTCTATATAGTTTTTCAGGTGTTTTTTGTCAGTGTGGAAGCCCTGTGGGATACAATGTGAAAGCTCAGTGTGTGTACCTGCGATGAGTGCGGGCTGGTTGGGTGACAGCACAGAGCAGTGACTGTTGTTGGAACATCTATAACCAGATCTGCTTGATTGGGGTTCAGATTCTGACGGTTCAGGTTCCAGGTACAAACGTAGGAATTCTCAGTGCTCCAGTCTCCTTCATCAATCCTGAAATTTAAGAAAATAAGAAACAAAAGTGCTGTGCTAAACATTGAATGAATGAATGAAACCTTTATTGCCCCTAGGGGAATATGCCTTGCACAGAGAGCTAAAAAACACAATACAAACAAACATGGACAGGACAGCACATAAGAACACATAAAAACACACTAAAGCATCACATGATTCAATGAGGGATTTCAGCAAGTTAAATAAAGTGCAGAGTGTTGAGTTCGTCCTGCATAATCAGTTCTTATTAAACAGCTGAATACTGCGCGGTAAAAAGGATGTAATGCCTCTTTTAGTCCTCATCCTGGGCATTCTGTATCTGTGCCCTGAATTCAAGAGTTCATACTCTGACCAAAGGGGGTGCAGAGGGTCAGCTGTGATCTTGATGGCTCAGTGTGTACCGGTCTGTCAGGAAAGAAATGCTGTACATTTGCTTCCCAGTTATCTTGCTGCCTAGTTTAACAACCTTGTCCAGTTTGTTCTTATTTTGTAAGGACAGTTCAGGACATCCTTATAGGAGATTCAGACTTATGCACAAAAATACATGAATACATGAGGTGAACGTACCGACCGTAGGCGCAGGCAATAACTGAGCCTGTGCAGCTCCAGGACACACTGGTTACATGCAGACCTCTCTCCTGAGCGCTGGGATGTTGAAGACAATGGAGGCAAGAAACCTGTGAACATAGAAACAGTCATACATGAATGCCAGTCTCTTTCCTGCTCAAAAATATTTCAATTTGGTTCACTGATCCCACTTACACGATTATTGTGCTCCTCCCAGTTGACCTGAAACCCATCGAAGGCGTGACTCCGAGCGTTTCTGACCAACTCTCTGATGACCGAGTCCTCGACCCGCTGCAGGAAGTCCTTCAGGCCGGGTGGATCCGGGTCATCCTGGTTTTGCTGGAGGAGCTGCTCTGTGTCCTGATGTTGTGGCTCTTCTGTCTGAGTCCAGCTGCTAGAGGTCGACACAGTCTGGACCTCTGCCTCAGTGCTGTGGACCGCTCTGGTTTGACATCCTCTCTGAAAAAACAGCAAATAAACATGTGGACTACAGTCATTTGGTGACTGCTGCACTCACAAGTTTGAGTTTCACATTGAGTCAGACGCATACGAAGGAGGATGAAATAATGATAGGAGGAAGATGCTCTATGTGCGGAGGCAGTGGTCCTCCAGGTGGGTGGCCCAGGCCTGTGGCTCCTTCCCCGCATGTTGTTCCCCACCTTCTCTCTTCCCAATTTCTGACTATGTTTCTTGTTTTTTTTTTAAATATTTCAAATTTCAGGATTGATGAAGGAGACTGGAGCACTGAGAAGTCATTTGTTTCTACCTGGAACCTGAACCTTCAGAGTCTGAACCCAAACTTTACTCATGGCAGGTACACACACTGAGCTTTCACATTGTATCCTACAGTGTTTCCACACTACCGACATAAACAGCTGGAATATTGTTAAAATACAATTTGAGCATAAAGTTCAAATGCCAAGAATAAAGTCATAAAGTCGAATGGTTGTAAAATCTAAAATGTTGAGGAAAAAGACAAAATATCTAGATTTCAGTTGAAATTTTCTAATTTTCCTTTAATTTCTAAGGCCCTGATACTCCTCCGTAAACAGCTGTTTGGAGTCACCACTTATTTTATTGTGTTTCACTTAAAAATGTAACAGAAAACTAACAAGTTGTAATTTAGCAGAAATCTCAACCCTCATATACAGAGAAGTGTACAGTGGGTAACCTGATGTTAACATTTCCGAGCAACATTTGAACGTCACATTAGAATAGCTACTGTCTACACAATGTTGTTACTGTAGCTAAAACAGGCAATAATAGGCGAAAATTACAACGCTTAAAAATACTGTGGGAGCTAAACTTAGCACTGTTGGTCAAACATACCGACTCCTGTGCAGCCTGCTGAGATTTCCTCCAAAGAGACTCAATTTCCACTGAATCTAGCGCTTCGTCTGTAAACATCTTAATAAATGTGTCTTCTTTTGGCTAAATTAATAATAATTAACAGTGACTATCTTATCTAGCGTTAACTGCAATTAAAGTGTAAAGAAATAATTGATAGAATGGCAACTGCGTGTTAACTTTGAACACAGCTAGCTAGCATCCCTGTAGCACACAAAGCTAGCACCGTTACCTTGGTTACGGAGAGTCAAGATAGACATCCCGCGATCACTTCCGCTTTCTCTTTGTCTATAAAATACCAGATATTCTCCACGTCGTATATGTATGTGGACTCGTTGGTGTTAACAGTTATAAAATCAGGCAATATATCTTTCTAGCATATTTAAAAATAATAATTTAATAGATTTTGTATATAAAACATGTCGTGTATTTGTACGCACGGTGAGAAAAGACTCCACCTGGTCACCTGTTCGGTCTTCCTACTCAGAAAATAAAGATTTGTTTTCATAGTTAACATGTAAGATGAAATACACAAAGTCAAATAAACTATTCAACCATCTTAGATTAAAATTGGATTGCCTTAAAATGACGCATCGTTTTGACTTGAAATCAAAGAATAATGCCTGTTCCCATTATTTACAGTGCCTTAACTGGGCTTTGGGATTTCACAATTCATTTTAAGCAAGAAAATGATATCCCAAGAATCATTTCTTTGCCTCTAAAATATTTGTTTTCGCTTTGGTCATCGTTACACAACAAGGGAGGTTGGGACAAGGTCAGACTTCTATATTTCTGCTGCGTAGTCGCGAGTAGTCTGCCCCCTAGTGGTGACGTAGCGACACGACATGCTTTATTTCCACTCCATGAAGCAGAAAAGAGTTCATGAAGCTTGTTGCAGATAATAATGTTCAAGCCAGAATAGTGAAAGAAGCTATTGTCACTCACTCTTCTGACTATAAAAATGCCACATTTATATCAGCCCAGTAGTTATTCTGCAGGTTCAGCTCTTGTTTACAGTGACATAGAAATACAATTTGACTTTTATTTTAGGCAACATTTTAAGAGCAAATGAGGGGCATGCATAGGTTACTTGATTGGAGTTTATAAAGCTCGACAGTTCCTAGTCTCATGTATTTTTTCTGCAAACAAGTTTTTCATCGACCCTGAGACAAAAACGAACTCACTAATACCCAAAGCCCTTAAGGTTATGACGTACATACAACAGGTTACTTAAGGGTAGTTTCTCAACAAGCAGCACTAAAAATTAAATCCCACAAGTGATCTTCAGTGGTGCATCCTCCGCAGATTTATAAGATAAATAAAAATCAACACAATATTTCTTTAAAACCTGAGTAAGCCCAAACGGTTTATTTTAAATCCCACTGGCAACAAAGTCTGGAGTATTAACATGACAGAGCTAAGCTATTAGAATCAACAATGGTCACAATTTAAAGCCAGTAGCGCCAAAAAAGTCTTTACAACAAACCATGATGTCATCAAATTACCCACAGCAGTTAAAAACAAACAAACAAAAACAAAAACAGATGAGCATCTCCACCCAGCTGTTCTGTTGGGACCGTGCAGATAAGATTTTAACTGGGTTCAAGCAAAAAAAGAACCTCTGAAGATCCACGTGTTTAGACGGTGGTCTCTCAGTGGATCCAAATTATCAGTTCACCGTCAAATTTCACAAGTTTAATAGATTCACTTCCGTTTGCAGCAACAATTGGAGAAAAAGTGTGTTGGAATGCCCAAATGTGATCAAACTACTCCCAGCATCATGTTTTCATTTATTTATTGTAACAAAGCAACTGGTACACTTAATTTAACGCCAACAGGTTTCCAGCAGAACAGGAGAAGCGCTGCAGACGCCACAGAGACGACTCCGCAGAAAACATCTCATCTCTCATCATCTCCAAAATGTTAAGCCAAGCTCAAAAGGTTTTTTTTTTTACGGTTTATATAAAAAAAATGTACAATTCAAACGTTTTCTGTGGGTGCTTGAAAAACACAAAAAAAGAAAAATCTTAAACAGACGTCCAGAGTTGTTGTCAAAGCCCTACTGCCACCCCACCCCTGCCTTCAAACTGTGTACAATAACACCCATCCCACCAAGATCCCAAAAACATTTACAACAGTTGAAAGGAACAAGCTGGTGCTTTCAATCAGTTCCATTAGTACAAGTCACAAAGGAAAATGCAACTTCTAGTAATAAGCCTTAGTCCCGCCCACCACTGGATATATTATAATATACACGTATATATTTATATATATAAAAGTGGCTTAGGATGCTATGATTAAGTTATCACTGCACCATGGCTTATTTTTATTCAACTCACAACTTCAACAGAACTCATATCCGACATATAAATTGCTATTGTACGTATTTTAAATCTACGTAGGTTGACGTGCAGAATGCTACAAAGTTTTTTTTATTCTTTTGCATGTCTTTGGGAGATGTAGGGAAACAATGACAGGTGAGACTTCAAAGGGCCACCCTCCCCCCCGCTGCAACCCCGACGCACACCTGCTGCTGTAAGGAGCCGGCCGTCGTGGATACGTCAGGGCTGCAGAGGAGGAAGGATGGACATGCTAACGACACACAAGATTTTTTTTTTATTACTTTTATACAAATCCCGCCCCTCCCCACCCAGAAAAAAATAAACAAACAAAAGATTTTGCTCCCGAGGTTTGTAGGATGATCACAGAGGGAGGACGAGGGGAAAAAGTGAAAGCCGAGAAGTTTAATCGTCCTCTCCGTCATCCTGAGACGAGAAGAGAAAAGATATCACATCGTTTATTCCAAGAAAAACATCTCATTAATCATTTGAGTTTCTAAAAAAAAAAAACTTGTTTTCCCCTCTTACCTCTCCGTCTTCCCCATCACCATCCTCGTCATCATCATCACCCTCCTCTTCCTCCCCCTCGTCGATATCTTCCAGACCCTCCTCGTCGTCGTCATCGTCATCTCCGTCTCCTTCCTCATCCTCCATGTCGGGTACCTTTGGATGACAGTGATTCATTCAAAAACTTTCACTGGAAATCTGAAAAAAGTTCATCCCAGCATTAGTTAGGTGTTTTTTTTCTAGCGCTAGCATCTATTAATTGTTTTAGATGAGTAGTGGAAAAGCCCAGAAGCTTTTTACCGAGCGCTTTGCCTTTTTTGTGCGGCTGCTCCGAGCGCTCAGGTTAAAAATCTTTCAACTTCTCAAAGGCGCTGTTGACATCACTGGCGCTCTTTTCCAAATGTCTGATATTCCCGCAGTTTTGCTGCCTACCGAGAACGCTTCATGCAAAAGCTCCCGATTGCTCAGCCAGCGCTTTCCTCCTCAGTATAACTGCTAGCTGGACAAAGTAAAAGTTATCGTTCTGCCTGTTTTGGATGCTTCACATTTACACAATTCTAACCATAGACTGTAAGTAAACATGATGTCACCCAGAGGTTACTGAAGTGGGGCTTTTGAAGACTAGAGAGTGCGGTCACCATGCTGGTTATCCTGTCTCAACCTAACTTTCAGTCCCCATAACGACAGGCTCAGAGCTGGAGCTGAGGCAGGTTTTAAACCTCCTAACAAACAGGTACACTGCGCCCGCCTGTCACTCAGGTCTACCACAATGGGAATTTTCATGTGGGTGTGTACGTGATTTCCTGTGCTTCTGCAGCCAGCCGCAAGTGGACACTCTTAGAATTGCAGGTATTGGCACTTCCTCATTGGCTTCATTGTTCAACACCAGAGGTTGCTGCTCGTTTCTAACAAATCTGACATCAAACTTTTCATCACAGACGAGATCTGAACTGAATCTGATGATGCGGCATGTTTTGTCGTCTTCTTGTAAATGAACACCATGGGCATGATGGGAAATAATCTAAACAGGAATCCTGTTAAGACTCAAGATGAGTTCTGAGCCTACCAGGTAGTACTGCAGCGGGTTGGGCCAGATGTCGTCCTTGATGACTTCTCCCAGCTCGTCAGCTCCGGCGTCTGAGTGATCGGTGAACCAGGTGAAGAAGCTTTCGGGCTCCTCGTGCTGTCGTTTCTTCCCAGCTTTGTTTGGCGTCTGGCCCGAACGCTTTGTCAGGTCCTGGAGGGGGAGAACGTGCAAAAGGTTTGAAAAGTTGTCTCGTTTTAGGAAGAAGAATAACGGTCAATAAAGTGTAAAAACATCAAAAACCACAGAATGGGAAGAGAAAGAGGCAACCAACCTTTCCGGCTTTCCATTTGATTTCAGACGATTTGGAAACAGGATCCCCGCTCTCGTTCACATTAAACTCTTTGGAGAGGGCTTTATTCTCAAAGTACGGGTTCTCGTCGAAATACTAGCAAAACGAAAAACACACCTGTGTCAGAATACAACACAACTTAGTTTATAGAAACGAGAGAAAGGACCACAAACACTCACAAAATCTATTCTGTATCCAGACTTGATGTCCTCGAACTCGGTGACCTCCACCCTCGACAAGTAATGAAGTGCTTCCTCATCCTCCTCGCCCAGAAGTGCTGAAACTAAAAGTCCAAAAAGTAGAAAGAAGTTGTAAAAACATGTTTGGCTTCACCGTACAGACGGGTAAAAGAATCAAAGAGCGTACCTTGTGGATGGTTGACAAATGTTGTGACCCAGAAGTTGGGGATTTTGGCTATGAGTTCTGATCGCTTCTGAAAGAACGGCTGGCGTAATTTGTTGTACTTCTGCTCTACTTTTAAAATTTCTTCACTCGCCTGCTCGTTCAGTCTGACGGGAAGAAAAGAGGAAAAAACAGTCAAATGGGGAAAAATCTCTACGTTCGGCCAACGCTCACAGGTAACATTCAGACTCACCTGTCGATTTCATTCTGTACTTCATCGATGTGTTCGATCGCTTCCTGTTGCTCTTTTTCTGAAAGGAAATTAAGATCAGTTGAAACACAGGACTTTAAATAAAAATGTTTAACTTCCAACAACAGCAACTAAATAAAGTTCCCACGATAAACAGAACAGGTAAGGCGTATCAATGACGCACTTCCTTTACATGCAGGATGCAGTGACGGAGCATGTACAGACGTGAGCTTTATATAATTAAAAGCTTTATTGTAAAAAGTTCTGTACTCTGAAGCTCAGATAAGCAGTGTAAATATTGCTTAGCTCACAATGTTCAAAAAACCACACTGCTTCTTATTTAATGTCTAATTGTTTTTTTTCATAATGTGCAACATTTTATGTGCATTTATTTTTATTCCTTGTAATGTGAATTACTGTACACAAGTTTAATAATAATTAACTTTTTGTTCCTCTGTCAATTACCTTTTTTTTTTAAACTTCTATGGGTGTGTGTGGGCTGAATGTGATGAATGTTACAGTAAATGACAATAAAGACAATTTATATAGCACTAACAATAATTAATAACCAACACTGACCATTGTAAACTCCTCCATTATGATTTTTTTTCATTTAAACCGTGCAATCTGGATCTTAACCAGGCCGTAACCTGAACAATAACACAATGTGAGAGACCAATACTGCTGTAATATATCCTGCACTTTTGTTTCAGGTATGACTCTGACTTCCCACGATCATGAAGATACTGTGGCGTGTTTCATCATGTATGGTAACTGTTTAAAGTGTATGTTGTGATATTTTGGCCACAAGAACACATCTCCATTTCCTCAAAAACCCCGTTCGTTTTGTTTTACATTTATTGATTAGTTCGATGAGATGTTAAATCGGCAAGATATCCTGCTTAATTATCGTGATCTAAATGTCATTTTTACAATTATTTTCAGCTTTTTCCACACAGTTTTATGTCTTATACACTCTTTATTGTTGTACTTTTATTATCTCTTGTTGTATTCACATCTCCATTTATATTCATATATTTCTACTACTGTATTATTAGTTTAAAAAAAAAAAGCAACTGTAACGACTGAATGAGGATTTAATAAAGTGTTTCTGATTCTGATATAGTGGTCTGTTTTTACATCATCAGTCTTACCTCTAATATACATAAACAGTAAAATAACGCGGGACGCCAGTGTGTGTGTGTGTGTGTGTGTGTGTGTGTGTGTGTGTGGGGACCCTCTGCCTCCCGCAGTCTGGAGCTTCCTGTTAAAGCTAAAGGCGGCCTGGTTTGAATGAAGAGCTTAACGCCGACATGCTTTATCTGCTCTGAGCTCACATCTACAACCCGAGAAGCTTCCCCGGAGTGTTAACTCACATTAACCGCACAGAAACTCTTATAGAGACTTTATTACAATTAAAAAAAAAAAAAGCAAAGCGATTGTTTACATCGCCTCGGGTTGCAGCTTGCACAACAAAAGCTAACACGCGTGGGTAGGGTAAACAGAGCGGCTAACGTGATCCGTGCCGCCCTCTTCAGGCTCAAAGGAAACGAGGATTTGATGCTAATTATGTGTGCAAACAATCCCGAAGCTGGTGCATGAGAGACCCCACAGATATCACCAATACACTCACACGAGAAACTTCCCCACACTGTGTTCGTGATCTAAAGTTGCACATTATGACGCCAGCTGCAGCCGACACGGTGTAAATACTCTCTCTCCTTCAAGTAGAAGCTAACACATGCTAACGGCTAGCTCAGTGTTAGCATCGTGTTAGCATGCTAACGCAGTATTTAGCTCCTTTGTTGATACGCAGCTGGAGCAGAATAAGCGGTCTCTGCGTTAACATAGCATCGCTTTGTCTGCATTTTAGTGAACAAACTCCGCGTAAGACGACAAAACGACGATAAACAAATGAAAATGGCGTTTCTGTAGAGACCCGCCATTCCTGTTACCAGAGGTCTCGTCCGCTCCGTCGTGATTTGAATTCTCCTTCCTGCTCACTTTCGCCGATGAGGCAGACATGGTTATCGTTCTTCGTGACGCTTTACGACCAGATTTATATCCCAGGTGTTGTTTGTTAACTCTTCTCCGGAGGATAAAAGTTACTTCCACCTACTAACACGGAGTGCGCGTGTCTCCCTGCACACGAGAAGGAGGACTGAGCGCAGCTTTGCACGCGCTTGTTTCTAACATGTTTATTGTCCTCTAGCGCCCCCATCAGGCCGGAGTGCGACACTGCAACTCAAATACGCTGAAAAGGAAATCAGACTCCGCTTTATTGGCCATGTTTGCTGCTTTCACACACAGGGCCTTTGGCTTTTCTGAACTGTGCTCTCAGTGTACAAAAGTATAACATTAAATATAAACACAGATAAGCAAATAATAATAATAAAAAACTGCATGTTATTTAATGTCTGTTTTTGATAATTCTGCTTTTTTAAACATTGCTGTACATATATAAACAACACAACTTTTTTTTTATATATTCAGGTCTAATTACAGATTTTTTTTCTCAACTGTTTGTAGGTTCTTGCTTTAAACTACGCATATATATATTTTTTATCCCTGCACGGGTTATATACATTTCTTGTTTAAATCTATTTTTAATTGCACAGTTTAAGTTTGATTCATCTAGAGGTATTCTTTAAATCTTTTTTCGGGTTAATACATATGTATGGGAGGGGGGGCGTCAGTTTTGCGGTTTAATTTGTAACAAATGTTTCATGTCATGTACGTCTTTGTAACCTGCTACTGGATGCTTTGAATTTCCCTCGGGATCAATAAAGTATCTATCTATCTATCCAATACATACAAGGCTAAATAAGACAGTGAGTGAAGTGGGAGTCCACTGTCATCTCCACAGTCTTGAGCAGGTTCAGCTCCAGATGGTTCTGACTGCACCAGAGAGCCAGCTGTTCCAGTAGTTATCTAATTATTTTTAAGCCATATCCCCTTTTTCCTTTACAACTTCAACAAAGTATCTACTTTTATTCATCTTCTTTTAAGCTGCTGAGATCCTCACTTAAGCATTCATCACTTCCAGACTGGACTACCGCAATAGTCTCCTCTATGCTTCATCCAAAACCCTCCAGACACTGTAATAAATCCAGAATATATTTGCTGCTCGTCTTTTCACACACACTCCCTTATCACCCTGCTTCCTCATCCTGCAGCGTATCCACTTCAAACTCCTTATCATCGCCTACAAAGCCCTCAATAACCTGGTTCCCCGTCTACCTGCCTGAGCTCTTCCACCGGCACACTTACATCAGGATCTGCTGACAAACCTCCCTGACATCATTTTTATTGATCTCCCATTAGGGGAAATTAACATGTTACAACAGCAATAATTAGTAAGTAAGAATTATTTAATATTTATTAAACCTTAATAGAGAAACAAAAAACAGACATTTAACTTTCAAAATAATAACGTGTACATTTTATTTTGTATTATCTTAATGTAGTTTTCATTTTGGGAGATTTCGCGTTTTTGTTTAAATAACCAAAGCTGCGTTTATAATATGTATAAAAAAGTAATCTAGTACCTCGACAGGTGCATTGAATAAATGAATGTCATTTGTCCCTTCAGCGTCTCGTCATCACCGTGGTCCAACCAATCCAGCCGCCGTAATGACGTCAGCTTTACGTCGACACGGAGAGGAAAAACTCAATTCAAACTTCTCCTCTGATTTGTTTCCATGACAAACAGCAGGTTCAGCGACTTTAGCAAGACGTTGAATTTCACATGAAGCCGTGACTTTGTGAGTTTACTTATAAAGCGAGCCGTGCTGTTTCTCCTGGAGCTTTTCTTTACATTTATTTGACCGACTCTCTCCGGCCCGAAGAAGAGACCGCCGCCGGGAGCTGCCGGTGGAGCGGACACCTGACAGCCATCATGTCAGGTTTAGCATTACAGGTAAGGTTGACGCCGTTGTCCCATACTTCAAATTCAGTTTAACACCGTTATCGACAGCTTATATTTAGTACCCACTCTTCACCTGTTCATAAAGTTTGGTTAAGTTAATCTCAGTTAAATGTCGCCTTCCAGGTGTTCCAGTGACAGACAGGTGCACTGGATTTTCCAGTTTGTCTTGTTTGCTTCTCCTCATAGTTCCTCAGTCTTTGTGCTTGTCAGACAAAAAGCTTTAAAAACGGCAGCTTACAAAAGACTCAGTCTCATTAGTAGAACAAGGACAGAGGAGAACCCAGCCTCTAGTTTAAATACTTTATTCAAATACAGGTGAGCTTAAACATTTGAATATGATTTGTTTCAGCAGCCCTCATGTCTCTGTCAAAGATATTCTGAGTTTATTTAGTCTAAAATGTGACTTTGCTCTTTTGAGCGTTAAAGAATATAACACAATAAGTGTTATTTTAGTGTGATAAAAGGAATGAATCTTCAGTCCTGATGATGTGTAAATGGTAGTTTCATTGTGTTGTAGGTGTAGCACTTGTTTTGAAGAGGTGTGTCTTCTGCGTAAAGATACCTGTAACACCCATACCTGTAATAAAGCCACTTACTAATAACAAAGGAATAATATTGTAACTGTTACTGTGAGTTATATGCTTGTTTGAGTAAGATATAGATGAGGCCTCAGCAACGAGCACACCTAGTCAAAAAACGTCATAAAATAAAATGTCAGGAATAAAATCCGGCATGACAGCAGAAGCTGAGTAGCGGCACATTCACAGAAATCTCCTGTTAGTTTCTACTCTCAGATTCTTGTCGCATTGATGTGGTTAAACAACCCTGACATAGAGGAGATGTGAAATCTCTGCAGCTTACTAAAAGATAAACTTTTTAGATTTACTTGTCACACTCTAGAGGGGTATAAAACAGAGTTTCGCTCGAGGCCGTTTTCTGTGGTGATTGTGTTGAGAAGGTGGATTCTTCTGCACCAGTCTCCTCGGCTTACCTGGTCCTCTAAATGTGTGTAAAGTGCCCTTCACTCAGGAATGTGTTACTGCTCTGGTGTCAACATTGTTCTCCCAGCTGCTGGTTATATAGTATATCTCAATGTGTGTGAGGTTAATGTTTACATGCTTTCCTGGATTTTTTTATTTTAAATTATTGCTTCTTTCTATGCATCCTTGTGTTGCATGTCATTATGATGGTTTCCCCTCTGCTGCTTGTCAACAGTGCAAGGCATGCAACTTCTTGGGACCCCAGACCAGTAGGGGGGCTCCTGAGAGCTTACAAACTTAGGGCACACTCACACTAGGCAATCCGTACCCTGCCCAAGCACGCTTCACCCCTAAAGTCCAGTTGGTTTGACTTGTGTGAGTGCGCCGATCTGTGCTCAAGCACAAGAGAAAACAGAGGAAGAGGAGTAAGCGTTGGCTGGTAGACAAAATGGGGATGAATGCTGTTTGGAGGGCCCCCCAATAGATGTTTGCCTAGAGTCCTAACAGACTCCAGAATCACCACTGGATGTTCCAGTCATGCTATTTAAGTTGTTCAGGTGACACTCCAGGTACTGCAGCCCTTCACCTGCAGCTGGATGTCTGTATACTTCCAATGTACTATAGAGTTGTAGTTGGTAAAGTCGGTCGTCTCTCAACCAGAAGGTTGGGGTTCGATCCCCAGCTCCTGCAGCCACATGTCCGATGTGTCCTTGGGCAAGACACTTAACCCCAAGTTGCTCCTGCTGCTTCGTCAGCGGCGTATGACTGAATGAAATAAGTTACTTCTGATGGTCACTTTACAAAGCAGCCTCTACCGTCAGTGTGTGAACGGGTGAATGTGTAGGGGTGACCTTGACCTGAGATGTAAAAGCGCTTTGAGTAGTCTGAAGACTAGAAAAGCGCTTTACAAGCTCAAGTCCATTTTCCATTTACCATGTCCACATTTCATGTGTGTGTTTCAGGTCTATGTGTGTGTGAGATAATAATTAATAACAGAGTGTTTCCCTCAGGGATTGATAAAGTATGTCAAATTGAAATCGAAAAAAATATTCTAACTATGCATCACATGACCTGTTGGGTGACCCCAGGGGTTGTACATGTGGAGGCGTGTCTCCTCACCTGTTCATGTCCACATTGGGCTATAGGGCCACATTAGGTGATACATTTCATTAAATGCGATTTGGAGCAGCTTCTGGTGTGCGGACTCGGTCTTGCTTTTGCTTTTGTGTATCTGTCCAGCACCCAGTACTTCAAGATTTGGATGTGCGTGCTGTTAAATATGTTTTGGGATCATTGTTTCCATTAATCACCTTTTTATTCAACTACATCAGAATCCTTAACTGAGGCCAAAACCTAAAGATGTTGAAGCAAAAGATTAAGATTCTTGAAGTCGTGTCTGGTGGAAGAGGTGGGAAAAAAATATTTTTTTGTAAAAATCCAGATTCTTATCTTCTGAGATTTTAAATCAATTCATAACTTTTTTTTGGCTAATCAGTCACTCCATGCTAAGTGCTAAAGCTCTTTAACTCAGTAGAATGCCAAATGGAGCAGCAAGAAATTCAGCCAGTAGATCCTGAAGTATGTACCAATTCAAAAATAGACTTTGAATCACGAATCCAGAATCGTTTTGAATCAAGAAATTGATTCTGAATTGAATCGTGACCCCAACAATCCAAATATATATATATTCTGGCTGCTGTTTTTAACCTTGAATTTGTATCGCTATGTAGGTACCTTTTTAGGCTCTTTATAAAGAAACAGCTGATATAAGGCCGCCTAGCTCCCTCCGTCTTCTTTGAGAGACAGCACCACCTGGCAGAAGACCAGTCTAGGAAATAACTTATCCATTACTTAAAGTAGAATATATTTCAATATAGGTGCCGTTGGCATAATGCAGGATCCGTCTTTGAGTCAGGATTAGACAGACAAGTGCTGTAACGGTTCCTCACTTATTTTAAAATTCTTTTCAGGGGTCTGCCCTGAAAGTGTTTGTGATGTTTGTGGTTCTGACAGATTTTAAATATTAAATGTTAAGAAGAATCAGGGAGTCACTTCAAGGCAGTTTGACGGTGATGCAAGACAAGATATGAAACAACGCCCGATGTAGAAACACTTGATTATGTAATCTGAAACCGTTATTGTCAGCTGATTGAGTCAAGCACAGACATCGAATACTCTCCGTGGCTGGTTGTATATATGAGGAGGAAGTGTTGCTTTTGTGACTTTTGCTGTCATTTAGGATAAATAACTTTGTGGTTTGGACCAAAGGAAACGTTTGAAGACATCTCTTTGCTCTCTAGGAAGTTGAAATTTCCAGAAATCACTAAACATTTCAAAGTACACTGAACTTTATCCACAAGAGGGAAGCATTGTGCTGTTTATGTTTGCTGATCCACTGAAGGTTTAACTATCTCAACTTCCTCTTGAAGAACTTCCTCAGCAACATCTGTTTGATCAAAGGTGTTCTCCTTTCTGTAAATGATACAGCGAGACTTTAAACGTATTCTGCAGCCCACCATGTGTAGTTACATGTTGTTGTTGTTTTGTGAATAGGTTAAAGGGTCAACAGTGAGCATTTCATTGTGCAAACCCGTTTGTTCTGTGCATTATTTACCGTCTAACATAATGCATAAAGAAAACATTTAATATATATACGCTGAGTGATCCGAGACTGACTCAGCTGTTTGTGTGTCCTGCAGAGCGGGAACATGCGAAGGCTGGACGAGGTGGACATTCTCGACCCGGAGTTTCAACAGCGCCTAGAGGACGCTCGCACTCTCCTCAGGCAGGAAATCCAGCGTGAGCTGAAGATCAAGGAGGCAGCCGAGAGGATGCGGAGAGCCGTCACCAACCGCAAGAGCGCAGCACACGTGGAGGACCAGCTGAAGGCCTCGAGCCGCAAGCTGGAGAAGTTACACTGGGAGCTGCAGGAGCTGAATGCCAGGTCTATGGCTACAGAGAAGGACAGCACCACAGGTAACTTTAACTTATAACTCAATGGACGGCAGTTTGATAGAAAAAAAAAAACAATTCCTGAAGTTAATCATCTTATAGAAGCAGAGGGGCTTTGTTTTATACGGAAAAATAAATCCCAAGTGTGTCCCTAGTGCACCAATCCAGAGCGAGATATCGAGCCAAATATTGTCAAAAAACCTCTTTATAGTCCTCAGAGGATGAAAAGTCCCGGAGAGATCTACATTTCAAACAACACTCAGATCCTCTTGACTGAATCTTTGCTCCATGATGTGTTGTCTCTTTTTTTTGTGGCTTGGGCTGCATGGTGGTGCAGTGGTTAGCGCTGTCCCCTCACAGCGAGGAGGTTCCTGGTTTGAATCCCCGGCTGACAGGAGCCTCTCTGTGTGGAGTTTGCTGGCTTCCTCCCACAGTCCAAAGACATGCTCGTTAGGTTAACTGGTGACTCTAAATTGTCCGTAGGTGTGAATGTGAGTGTGTCTGGTTGTCTGTCTCTATATGTCAGCGCTGTGATTGGCTGGTGAACAGTCCAGGGTGTAACCCCGCCTCTTGTCAAATGACAGCTGGGATCGACTCCAGCCCCCCGCGACCCCGAAGTGGTAATGCAAAGATAAACCTTGATAATAATATTTTGATGCAGGTTCCTCGGATGAAGTCGACAACCAATCGGCCGAGTCGTGCCAGTGGGAAGAGGTCACGTCACCTCTGGCCAGTCGAGTCCGGACCCTGAAGAAACAGCTCACCATGGAAACCAAAGTCAAACAGGGAGCTGAGAACATGATCCAGACCTACACCAACAGCTCAGTCAAGGTACAGTGAAGCGTTCAGTTTAGGTGTCAATTTGAAATCTACTATTGTGTTTCTTTGATCATTAATGTATTTATGAGGTTAAACTTTTGTGTTTCTTGAAAAAGCAGCAGGACTCTAAACTTCCTGTTCTAACTCTCTGTAATCTGAGACCTTTTAATCGTAATCTGAAGAAAGAAATGTAGAGGTCCTGATGTTTGTTTGAATATTTTCCAGGACAGAAAGATGATGTCCACAGCGCAGCAGATGCTGCAGGACAGCCGCACTAAGATCGAGCTCCTCCGCATGCAGATCATCAAAGTCAGTCAAGCCAAAGACGGAGAGCGGGAAGGCTCACAGGGTAAATATATCACCTCTCATACATCGGCTCATCTACCAGCAAACGCAAAAGCAGAACTCATTCCACGTTTTCACACAGATTAAATCTCGAGTTATGGTTCACTTAGAAGGCTTTCACACATCGTCTCATCATCTTCGAGGAGTCTTTAGTAGAGTGAAAAGCTCTCTTCATTAATGACAACTCTATAAGACTTTGAGGTGCAGTTTAAAAGCTTGAAGTGGAAATTGAATTCAGATTTTATTATTCCAAACTGAGGAGGAATTTTTAATCTCAAATGCTGCAAAAACTTTATTTTGTGAGTTTCCATTTAAACTGTGATTTAATCCATGGTTTGGTTAAAGGAGCTTGATAAAAATGATGACATTAAAATAATCCTGATCAAATGTGTTTGAAAACCATTCAATCTCTGTTATGTTAATGATTGCTTTGTTCGGACACTGGTTTCCATAGTGGGGGTCAGGACAGTGTGGTCCCCAGTCTCTAGCACCTGTTTTAGGGGGCCATGGACCGAAAAGTTTGGGCACCCCTGGGTTAGGACATCTAGTTCTCTTGCTGTGGTATTGAAATAGGCATCGAAGTTGTTTGAGTTTTACTAGAATCGAATCAAAGTTTAAAATTCTGGTATCGTGACAACCCCAGTATGAATAAGTGAAGCAGAGATATAAACGTCTTACATGATTGGTTCTCACCATTTCGCTCCTCAGGTCAGCCTGACGTGACCATCAGCTCTCTGGAGCTGCGTGTGGCTGAACTCATGCATCACATGAAGATTGAATCGGCCGTCGCAGAAGGAGCCAAGAATGTGGTTAGACAGCTGAGTGGGAGGAAGGTCCAGGATCGCAGGATACTGGCAGAGGTGGGTACCAAGTTCAAACTGCATAGAACCCTAACACACCAGGAATCAGTCTGGGACCACCTCTGTGCACACAAGGTGGAAACTTACCTGCTAGGCTTACGAGACTGGTAACAGTTTTGGATGTTAAATGGCCTGGTGTTGGTAGAACAATTAGCAAAAGCAGCGAGGTTGACTGAGACAAGCACTGAAATAAAAAAGTAGTTGTAGTTGTTTTTAATCAAACTGCACATGCTCACTTTGACCTTTCCACCTAATTTCCATCTGTTGTCCCTGGGCAGGTGATGGCAACAGTAAAACACAAATCAACCAGTCATGCACACAAGCAGATATTAAAACATTATGTACAAGTTTCCCAGAGATGTGAAAGGTTGTTGAGATGACACATGAATGAACTTAAAATCCATTTTTTGACTTTGCGGATGAAAGTGCAGAAGTTTGTGTAAAGTTTAAGACTAGTTGGAAGATTATTCCATTCTCTAATGGCTTTAAACATTTTGCAGCCATTGCTTAATTTAAAACATTTTTTAAAAGTAGAAAAATAAACGATGTAAGTACGGACTGAAGAGGAGGCAGTGAAAGGAAGAAGTACAACTTTCCAGGTAATGACAGCGAAATTAAAATGGGTTAAACCTTATTTTTTGCAGCTGTGATGGGAGAGACTTTGAGACTCTTCAAGTTTTGAGTTTAACTTGAAAAGTGCTTTAACACTTTAAAACCGAGCCGAAAAAAGCAGAGGACTGTGAAGTGTTGTGTGGGTTAAATGTCCCGTGTCTATGTTTGTGTGTCCCTCAGGCTCAAGCCCGCATGGAGGAGTCGTCTCAGAAGGTGGATTTGTTGCGTCTCTCTCTGGAGAGGCGTTTAAGCGAGCTGCCTCCGGATCATTCCAAACAAGTCGAGATCAGAGAGGAGCTCACGACGGGAACGTCTCCTCTGTTTGGAACGCCGAAGAAACGATCCAACGGCCCGTCTGCGTGCCCCTCCTCCTCCTCGTCTTTCTTCAAACCAGCCAGTATAACAGGTCTCTAAAGTTACATCGCTTTATATTCATAGAACGTTTTATTTTAATTAAATCATTTTGATAACTCGATACATGAAACGCTCGTCCTCAGGTCGTTTGGAGGTGTGTTTGAAAGGCTGTCAGAGCCTGTTGGAGTCTGTTCCGGGTCGAGGTCGTGTCACAAGCGTCTCTGCGAACCCGGGACACGTCTCAGACGGGAAGTCCCTAAAGGTGAGATCCGGCCTATCAGGGCGCAGCGCCAACGGGAAGTCCATGAAGGCCGACGAGCTCTCCGGTAAGTCAACACTCGGACTGATGTGACCTTTTTACTTTTACATTTTTATATAAAACAATCTGCTAGTTTTCCTCTTGAGTAGTTTTTTATGAGTATTATTCAGATGTTATTTCCTGTGTGTCGAAGGGGCTACATCCCCGTGTTTGAAGTAAAACAAAAACATCCAAAATTTGAAGAGAAATGATGATTTTTTTTTCTTTTTACAGGCTGTAAAATTACAGAAAAAAAGTTGAAATCCACTTGTGAAAAGTCAAACTCGAATTGTATTTCTTAAGTCTGAAAATAACAAGAACTTTTCTCAATATTCTGATTTGGGGTGCCGGTGGCCTGGTGGTTTGTGTGCAGGCCCCATGTGTGGAGGGTACGGTCCTCTGGGCGGCCAGCCAGGGTCCGGGTCCGGCCTGTGGCTCCTTTCCTACATTTTCTCTCTCTCTCTCTCTCTCTCTCTCTCTCTCTCTCTCTCTCTCTCACTCTCTCTCGCTCTCTCTCTCTCTCGCTCTAAATAATAAAGCTCTACTCAACAGAAGACAATAAAGAAACACACCCAGACAACAATACATAATAAGAATTGGTCATTGTGTGTTTTGTGTCCCAGCTGAGGTGAGTGTGGTGTTAAAGGTCGACAACAGGGTCGTCGGTCGAACACACTGGAGACCACTGGGAAACGAGGCCTGGGATCAGAGCTTCAGCATCGAACTGGAACGGGTCAGTCGCTCTAACGCCCCAACTCAAATCACTAACGTCTGAATATTTCGACATAAGCACAGCATTGCTAACATCTAGGGATGTAACGATTCACTCAACTTACAATACAATTCACAATTTATTTTACAAAATGAGAGTCAAGACAAATGATGAGTGAGAAAGATTCCTTTAGGAGCTGCTAACCCGCTTGTCAGTGTGGTTTGGCCTTTTAATGTTTTTTTTATCTCAACAAGGGGAGGTGATTGGAGCTTCTCATCGTGGTGTTGATTAAATGCTGCATCATGTTGGTTGTGTTATTTGTGTAGTTCCCGGTGTTCTTCCAATATTTGTACACAGTTTTTGTCGCGTCTGTTATCTTCTCACCTCTTTCATTTTCTGTCTTGGGGAAACCAAAATGCTTCCACACCTCCGATTTAAAAGACGGTGGTACAGCTGCTGACACTCACCAGATTATTACGATACATTTTTCAGAGTACCGATAGGAATCTTGACAACTTTGAATTGATTTATCACGATTTTACGATTCATCTTTACATCCCTACTAACGTCTGTGTGGGTTCTCAGTCATTCGGGTCAGGGTGAATTTGAAGCTTGATCCAAAAGGCCGCTGGACTTGGTTGAAGATCCTGAAGACGTTTTACCTGTCCTCCAAAAGGAGAAGCATTTCTAAGGGGAGGTGAAATGTCTTCAGGACAGTGGTGTTGTCATTTTTAAAATGTATGATCCTTTGATGGCTCTAGTTTAAAGCAGGAATTTAAACTCTTAGTTAAAAAGTGAACCAGCTGCAGTGACTAAACTTTCTGTAACACCACCACAGAGTGCGGTTTGGTGTTTCTCTCCCTCTTGATTCGCTCTGATGGTGAACATCTGTTAACAGCTGTAGATCAATAACGTAGTCCTCTGACATCTTGTCCTTCACTGAATTCTGACTCTGATACTCCGTCTGCCTCCGACTCTGCCCGTGTAATCCCGCTGCTAATCCTCTTGACATTTGCTCTAATCTGGCTTTAAACACACAAAACCCACTGAAGCATCTCAGCTCAAGACTTCTGATGGGACATTTATATGACAGCTCTCGTTCTTTTTATTCGAAAAAGACAATTTAAAAGAGGAATTCACTGATTTCACCCACAGGTCAGTTCCACACAGACTGAAAAAACAAGAGTTGATGTTGTCCTGTGTGGCTCTGGAGGCGCTTTAAGAAAAGGACCCCGATGATGTCATGATGATGTCGTTGTGGCTATATCATTTCGTGTTGGGAGATTACACATTTTAACATAAAGCCTGCGTTAACAGACGGTGGAGAGTTAATCTTCACTCTGTGCACGAACACGAGGTGATGCAGAGTCGTGGCGTTTCAGACTTTTCATCCTCAGTGCAAGTAAAAGCATTTTGACAGTTTCTGTTGCATACGTCTGCATCCATGTTTCTGAGGCTGTGACATCACTTTGGCGGTGTGATCCTCGCTAAAACATTAAACCTTACTTTGGCTTCAGAAAGAGGTTATAACGTAGAGCGAGGTCTAATAGAAATAGTGTAATATTATTTTTTAAAGTGTGGCATTAAATCATTGTCTCAGACATTTAATAGTTAAACTCATTCTGCATTAAATCTGATAAAGTTGTTTTATATTTATTGATATGACGCAGCTCCATGTGTGCAGCACTGCAATCCAGATCTTATCGTATCCAGAGGTGCTGTTTGTCAACAGGCAAGGCAGGCGACTGCTTGGGGCCCCAGACCCCTTAGGGGGGTCCCTAAGGCTTAGAAACTTAAACCAAAGCAGGGCCACAAAAAAATGAAAATTTTGCAATGACAGTAGGAAACCTTCCTCAAGGCCCCGTGTCCACCTAGCGTTTCTTTCTGAGCGCCAGGGTCTTTTTTCAGTAGTTTTCAATGAGTAGAGAGTGTTCTCAGCAGAAAAAGCAGCCGTCCGGAGAAAAAGTGCAGCGCCCAGAGTCTTTTCTTTTTTGTGCGGCCACTCCAAACGCTCAAGTTGAAAATCTTTCAACTTTTCAGAAAGGCGCCGTTGACGTCACCAACGCTCTTTTCCAAATGTATGATATTCCTGTATAATCCTGTAGTTTTACCGCCTACAGATCGTGCCTTGTACCCACATCCTCTTTGCTCCGTGTCAAGGACGTGCAGCGCTTTTCTTCTCAGAGCACAAACGCTTCATGCAGACGCTCCGGAGCGCACAGTCAGCGCTTTTCTGCCCGGTTAAAACTGCTAGCTGGACACAAGGCTGAATGCTGTCTTTTTTTTTTTTTTTTTAAAAGGGTAATTTATGAAAAGTGATGGTTGGATTGTTAACCATGTATGAACGTTTGTCCTGTTTTTGTTGATGCAGTCCAGGGAGCTGGAGATCGCTGCATACTGGAGAGACTGGCGAGCGTTGAGTGGGGTGAAGTTTCTGCGTCTGGAGGACTTTCTGGATAACCGTCGCCATGGGATGTGTCTGCAGCTGGAGCCTCAGGGCGTCCTATTTATCGAGGTGTTTACTTCAAACTTTCACATTTTGATCTGCAGAAAGTTTCTCTCCTGCTGTGACACTTTTAGAGACAAACTGCACTGCAATCAAATCCATTTTCTGGTTCTTTGTATTTTTGTTGCATCATAAAAAGTTTTCATCTGAATCTTTTACAACCACTTTGTTATCGGAGCGAGGAGAAAGAAAGCCACAGCTGTAAACATTCCCTTCCTGATGTCACAGTGGTTACTACCAGAACTCCATCATTTCATACCTGAATCATTATCAGCTCACATTTTTATTCTCAGGTCACATTCCTCAATCCTGTCATCGAGCGCGCTACAAACTCCAGAGACAGAGGAGGATTTTCCCAAAAGAGAAAGGTAACCGGCGTTTAATCAAAATGAAACATGTCGCTTATTTTATGATGCAGATTATATGTTGTTGTTTTTGCTTTTGTCATGAAACCCTGAGGGGTTTTTCTTGTTTCTGTCATTGAGTTCATTCATTTAAGTCCAGCTGATTAAAGTGACATTTAAGTCATTTCAGAATCATAAACATTGCTTTTGAGTTAGATATACTAACAGTATGAAGCTCAGATTGGATGTGTGTATTTGTCTCCTCTCAGGGAAGGACTTCTTGCGTGCGGCTCAGATGAACATGAACTTTGCCACGTGGGGTCGTTTGATGATGAGCATCCTCCCTCCCTGCAGCTCTCTGGAGCCCATGAGCCCTCCGTTAGCCGGCCCGAATGCCGGCTCTGCATCCTCCATCACCTCTCCTCCGAGGTAACGAAGACTGTGTGCGTGCGCGCGTGTGCGTGTGAGTGTGCGTGTGCTTGTGTGTGTGTGTGTGTGTGTGTGTGCAAACTGTGACCCAGAAACTTCTCCGTGTCACATCCATGAATGAGCAGCTACAGAAAAGACATGTTCTCTCTCTTTGGCTCAGCCCTCCTCCGCTGTGACTCGAGGCTATTTCTCTGCTCGCTCATGAAATCTGAGACTGCAGAGATGTGACTTCAGCATTATCTCTGACCTGCATACTGACACAGTGGTTTTATAATAACAGGATGGGCGGTCTTAAAAGAAGCATTTTTAAAAGGTTAAATCTGGAGATAATTTATAATTGTCTAATTAGCCAGAAGTCCCACATGCAGACCCAATCCAAACAATGAATATATTTAGTAAAAAGTCAAAGCCTGGTTTTTCTTCTCCCTCTGAGCCGTTGAGCTCCATTGTTATCTAAAAACAAACAGTAAACAGGAACCCCAGATACTCACTCGAGCACCAAACATGGCTGAAAACAGCTGATCACAGTCTCCAATAAGCATTTTCCTTCTCCTCAGAGATTTACTACATCTTCAAGGTTTACCAAAGTTAGAGATAACGTCCCTTTTTATTTTTTTTATTTGTGAGTGTGTGTGTCTTTTAAACTAAGCACACTTCTTGATTATGTAAAGCCATGCATATCTTGTATTACAATGTTATGTACAAGAGGTAACCATGCTCAGGCCTGTTTAGTCCTGGAGCAGTGTGAGTGCAGGCTGGCGGGGGGGGGGGGGCAATCATGCTTCAGCATGGTCCCTGATTGGACATCTACATAAAACATGGAGAAAGATCATGGACTCTGTATAGAACAGTTTTTAGTGTTATTTTTTACTTTTACTTTTACTTTTACTTTTTACTTCTTACTTTTTGTTCAAACTTTCTGTTTCTGTTCAAGCTTTGTTTGAACAGAAACGACTCACCGCATGTGCAAACACTTTGTTCTTTGTCAGTTTGGAAGAAGCTCTAAGACTGCAGTAAAATCAGAAGTTAGAGGTCTTCTGCTGGTTTTGTTTTTCAGGGTGAATCTGAACTTTACTGAAGAACAAGCTGGCAGATCTCCACATCGCTCGATAAAGAACAAAGACTCTCCCATGGTGAGTTGGTCCGGTGGTTTGTTTCCATGAATAAAGCTTCCAGTGAGAATAAATGTACAAACGGTTCAATGGCACAGAACTGTATGGTACTAAATGTTATGATTAATGCAGTTGTGTAGATCAGACCCTGATGTTTCTGTTGTTGTGTGTCTGATTGTTTTGACCCATAAGAGGCTCTTCTGTGATTGGCTCAGTCGATGTGTCTGTTCTTCTATTTGTGTGTTTAATTTCAGTCTCCTCCAGAGAACAAGAGCCCGAAGCCAAAGAGACAACCGTCCATCCAGCCGACACCACAGTGAGTCACTCTGAGCAGAAATATAGCAGCAATGCATAACAATGTTACCTCAAGACATTATCAAAAGAGCAGGTTAAAGATGTTACGCTTCACGTACATAGACCCAACATTCATCAATCATCAGCACTAAGCAACATTTAGAAAAGTTAAGAATGAGAAAATCTATTTCAGTCTTCTTGCTAACTGGATGCCATTTAAAAGTTGGTGAATAAAGAATATGAAATAAGTGTTTTTCTTTCAGTGAAGTCTAGAAACTGTACAGATGGAGAAGGAATTGAAAAGTATTGTTTATTCGGTTTATTCTCTCCTGCAGACGGGACGAGGGGCTTCAGATGGAAGACTTCAACTGTATCTCTGTGCTCGGACGAGGTCACTTTGGAAAGGTACGCATATACTCCTACTCTGGCCCTTTCTCAAACTGCTCCCTCCACACTCACACTCCAGCACGGAGTGATCTCTGTCTGATATCACTCCATTGAGGTGGAGGTGATAAACATACATTTGTATGATACAATTGCACTCACGTTTGTGCAGGTGCCTCTTGGCCAGGACACTCTTGCAAATGAGATTCTTAATCTCAATGAGGTTCTCCTGGTTAAATACATTTAAATAAGAGCGCCTTCCATGCCGAACAATTAAAGGTGTTACACCTCTTCAGTAAGTCTTCATCGGTGCAGAGTCACTCATGGAGGATTTTACAATCCACTCTCAGTTTGCACTCTGAGGTTTTAGATGGCACTCGATGTGGAGGTGTGTAGGGACCAAGGAGAGGGTGTAGGGAGTGGTTTGAGAAAGGCCCTAAAAGTTCAACATCCTTAGAAGCATTTTGTCTGTACTCCTGTCTGTACTCTACAATAAAAGCCATCCTTCTTTTTACATTTATTATCGTCGTTTTCTAAATTATGTTAGTTAATATCCCTCCAATGTTTCCCCCTGTGTGTTTCCCATATCTGACTGAAGGTGCTGCTAGCAGAATATAAGAAGTCGGGGAAACTTTATGCCATCAAAGCCCTGAAGAAAGGCGACATCGTGACACGAGACGAAGTCGACAGGTAAGAAATCCCTCAGCTGGTCCATTTTAAACGACAATAATAAAAATTCAACGCTTCATGTACGGCTTTGCAACGCTCATAATACAAACTTAAAATCTCCACAAGTGTCTATTTCTAATCTATATGGCTGGATTTTCTACATGTTTTAGTAAAGACCCTGGATTTGATTTCAGTCAGCTCCAGTATTTTGTTTCCAGGACTTTCTCTGCTGTTGTTGTTGTTGAAAAAAAGATTTAAAATATCCTGAAGTCTCTACCGTTGTCTGTGTGTCTGTGTGTTTTGTGTTCAGCCTGGTGTGTGAGAAGCGGATCTTTGAAGTGATAAACGTCTCCCACCATCCATTCCTGGTGAACCTGTACGGCTGCTTCCAGACCGCCGACCACATGTGCTTCGTGATGGCGTACTCACCTGGAGGAGACCTGATGACTCACATCCACACGAGCATCTTCACCGAGAAACAAACCCTGTGAGCACACGCACACGCTGTACAATCGTACACATAAACAGGATGTCGGTTTTAAGTCCCGTCTTGTTATTTCTTTCAGATTTTATTCTTCGTGCGTGCTGCTCGGCCTCGAGTTCCTCCACCAGCACAAAATCGTTTACAGGTGAGTCCTCCTCAGAACTGTTTTACTTCATACTCTCTTAATTCATCTCAGAAGCCTGTAGTGAAGTCTAGTTTGTTTCTGTCCGTCTGTCAGAGATCTGAAGCTGGATAATCTGCTGATGGATGCAGACGGCTACGTCAGGATTGCAGACTTTGGTCTCTGTAAAGAAGGTAAGAGATAGGCAGACTTTAAATCCACATTCTGACGGTCTATTGAACATCAAACTATCATATTTGAGTCAAACTGTTTCCTCTCAGTTTTGGTCAAATAGACGAAGTGATATTTAAAGCTTTAGTGATGTTTTGCTAAAACACAGATGTCCTCTATCCGGTCTGCGTCAACAGTTCTTAGTTGATAATTTCTTCTTCATTTAGTAGCTTTAAAGGTCACATATCCTCCTCCTCTTCATCAGTGTAAATAAGTCTCAAAGCTCCCCAAAACATGTGTGAGAAGTTTCATGTTCTAAATCCACTCTCCACAATGTAAATGAGCGGTGTGACCACGCCCCCTCTCTGGAAGGACTTGGGTGTCTCGGGCTTTCTCGCTCCATGTCCTATTGTTTACGGTGAGAAGGCAGACTCAGAGGGCAGAACAAACACCTAGCTGTGGGAGTGTCACCCACCTGATGGATGGGTTACTGCCCTTTGTGATGTCATGAAGGGAAAATCTCCAAACGGCCTGTTTGAGCACACATTTTCTGAAAAGTGGAGCAGGCAGAAGATGGAGAGGATGGACTTTTCTCATCATTGGGGGGTTTGTAGACAGACTAGAGACACATATTAGTGTTAGAGAAACATGGTGAAAAAGATTTTTTTAATTATTTGTAACCTTTAATATTCAGTGTTGAATTTAAAGTGATATCTTAGTGATTGTGTTCTGTGTGCAGGTATGGGTCACGGGGATCGAACCTCCACGTTCTGTGGCACACCCGAGTTTCTGGCCCCGGAGGTTCTGACAGACAACAACTACACCCGCTGTGTGGACTGGTGGGGGCTGGGGGTGCTCATCTATGAGATGATGGTGGGGGAGGTCAGTATGAACATGATTCAAACGTAACCAAACTGAACACGACTTGATAATTCATCCTTCTTTATCAAGATGATTTTAGTATATGATACGGAATGTGTGTGTTTGTGTCTTGAGACCAAGACCCATTTCGAATACTACAACCCCACCTAGGACTTCTAGCTAGTATCGTATGAAAACCCTCATTCAAAGTCACCTCTGAATCTTCAAATAAGCTCCTCTGATATTTTGCTTAAACCATAAATTCCACGACAACAATCGGTAGTTTGTCGCAAGTTGTGTGAAGAATCAGAGAAATGTAATCCCCTTCATGTAACCAGAGAAGAGGTTGTCTTTAGGTAGAGTGTTCACCTTCTCTCTGTTTGTCTCTCTGTTTGTCTCTCAGTCTCCGTTCCCAGGTGATGATGAGGAGGAAGTGTTCGACAGCATCGTCAACGATGACGTCCGCTACCCTCGCTTCCTTTCTCCAGAGTCTGTGTCCCTCATCCAGAAGGTCTGTGTCCTGAGAAATGTGCCCCTTTGAGTTCATTCAACATTTAAATATTATGAACATGCTTTAAATGATCTAAAGGCTGTACTCACTCCTCTTCATTTTCTCTCTCTGTGTTTTCAGCTGCTGCAGAAGAATCCTGAGATGAGACTTGGAGCGGGAGAAGAAGACGCTGCTCAGATCAAAAGACACAAATTCTTCCAGGTCAGGTTCCAGCCCGGGCGCTTTTTACCACCTCACACTGAAATCTCTGCAATTAAGCTTCAAGCTAAACCAGCATCGTCTGACACTCAGGGAACAAATAACATTTTTTTCTCTACTATATCTCATATATCAAGGTTCTTAATGTCTAAGCTTTGGTAAACCGAGGCTGCAGAGTTGTGTTGAAGTTAAGAGATTCTTCAAAAGTCAAACGGCTGCTTTCACAGAAATAACAAACAGGATCCAGATTAGAAAATCAACTTTTATAAACCATACAGGGATTTAAAGGAAGAATGTGAGTCTTTTAGATCCAGTAGAAGTCGCCTTTGAGAACCAGCATGAAACCAAAACACACTGCTGTTAGGCCACACCTCCTCCATACTGAAGCCTCCGCTCTCCTCCAGAGACACACCTCCAACCCTTCTCCACTCACGTTTATATGGATCAATTAGAACGCACCATAATTAAGCACCATGAAGCAAGCTTTGCTCGAGCTGCGATCACCCGTGTCCTGCATTGTTGTTTTAGCATGCTAATGTTAGCGCTCTTTAGTTAGCTCTTAAATTTATAAAGAATGAGCGTGATCTAAAAACTCTTACCTGGCATCCAAATAATCAGTGAGTATGTTCTTCTCTCTAGTCCTTGACTAAAACAGCTTTTATACACAAGGGGAGGAGCCGGCCATCCCGTCCATGTAAACACGGCTCTGACAACAACACAGCCAGCAGGACTCGAGCTTCTCCCTCATTGTAGACAGTCATGACTCAGAAGACTTTTACACAGGAGATACTGGATTTATGATTTATTGATGTGGAACATGTTGCACATTCTTCCTTTAACAGTTTTGTGCTGCAGCATAAGAATGAAGTGAATATTAATGAAGCAGGTTAATTGGCCAAGTTCTGTGTGAGAAAGAACACAGTGATGGGGCGCTGGTGGCGCAGTGGTTAGTGTGTGCGCCCCATGTATGGAGGCTATAGTCTTCCAAGCGGGCGGCCCGGGTTCAAATCCAGCCTGTGGTTCCTTTCCCGCATGTCATTCCTCTCTCTCTCTCCCTGATTTCCAACTCTATCCACTGTCCTATCTCTCCATTAAAGGCACAAAAAGCCCCAAAAATAATCTTTATAACAATAAAAATAAAAAAAGAACACAGTGATACGTTATGACCACGAGAAATATATTTCCTTCACACCTTTAGCCCGACAGAGACACATCCATATTGAATCCAGATCATAACTTTAGATTTTTTTTCTTTGTGTAATTTCATTAACATGTCCATCTTTTCTTTCCTTTTATAATCAGTCGATTGACTGGAACGCTCTCCTGGCCAAAAAGGTGAAGCCTCCATTCCTGCCGGTCATCAGAGCGCCGAAAGACGTGAGCAACTTCGACGAGGAGTTCACTCGCCTGAAACCCGTCCTCACCCTCCCGCGGACCACCTACATCCTCACTGACGAGCAACAAGAGATCTTTGCTGACTTTGACTTCTCTTGCATGAGATGACCGAAGGGATTCGCCCTCACAGCTGCTGCCTCATTGTCGTCATCGTCGTCACTTTGTCATAAACTGCCTCTACTTTGTCCAAGAGAAACGCCAGTCCTGCCTTTTTCACATCCGTTCAGCTCCACATTTCCAATTGCCTTCCATCTCTGCGAACAGTTCACTGCAAAACACTACAGAGCCCTCAAGATACAAGAAACTGCACTTTCAACACAAGCCGGGTCGGCGCTCAGGAGCAGCGTTTAAATGTTTAACATATTTGTGTCTGTCAGATTGATAATAACGACCATTAAAAGGGAATTCATGTATTTAGAAACCTGGAGCCTCTTGTTTGGAGGGTCTTAAAGGACTGATAGGTACAAAACGTTGATTCCTGCAGCGGGGAAACATGCTGTAATGGCTGCGACTTAATCCTGAACTGAAATAAAGAAAGTTTCAGTCAATACAGCCTATTGTTATGGCTACCAACTGAAACCTCAAAGGTCACATATTACACAAAATCCACTTCTCTATGTTCCTCTAACTCCAATATGTGTCTCTAGTCCGTCCACAAACCCCCCAATGATGAGAAAAGTCCATCGTCTCCGTCTTCTGCCTGCTCCACTTTTCAGAAAATGTGTGTTCAAACAGGCTGTTTGGAGCTTTTCCCTTCATGACATCACAAAGGGCAGTAGCCCCTTCCCCAGGTAGGTGCACTTCCACAGCTAGGTGTTTGTTCTGCCCTCTGAGTCTGCCTTCTCACCATAAACAATAGGACATGGAGAGAGAAAGCCAGAGACACCCAAGCCCTTCCAGAGAGGGGGCATGGTCAGACACAGCTCATTTACATATTTAAAGGTACAGACACAGAAACAGCCTGTTCTGAGCAGGGCTGAAATAGAGGGGTTTATAGTCATGATCAAATACAGGATCAGAGTGGATTTAGAACAAGAAACTTCTCACACATGTTTTGAGGAGCTCTGAGACTTATTTACACTGGTTGAAGACGAGGAGGATATGTGACCTTTAAAACTTTATTACTACCTTAGACCAGGTCCAGGTTCAATTTCCCTTTAAGATTAAAAGTCTTCAAATGTTGTTTACTCTCGTTTTCGCAACTTTCATCTTTTTTAAGACATGCACGTCTTTGAAGTTGGAGACGTGGTCGCTGCCCTCCTGATCCAAAGTGTAAATATTGATTAACACAAAGATTTGAATGTATCTCCTGCTCTGTCACCTTTAGGAGTCCCTCTGTTGTTGACCTTTGTATGTTTGCTACTATAATCAACAGAACCTGACTTTTTAAAAGAACACTATCATGGAGATTATTCCTATATGTAACGAACCAGCCTGTGTGTGAAGTGTGACCTATATGAAGGAAAATGAATAAATGTAAATATATCTGCTGGACCTCTAATGACCTGGGAGACCTTCATGAAACTTTGATTTATTGATCACAGCGTACAGTTGTTTCAAAGTAGTAAAAAAACACATTGCATATGATTCATTAGTACACAACATGAATTAAATATTCATTCATATAAAGTCAGCTGTACATTAGAGTAAACACATTTATTGCTGGGTTACTATTGCACAAGAAGGAACAGGTTTCAGATACCAGACGATGTATTACACTCAAATCTCCTCAGGTATACTTTTCATTTAAGTCTTTTAAGTTATTCATATCAAATAGTCATATCAAAGATGGAAAGACGAGTCCTGGGTGGAAACCGTTTAGATTATTTACAACGATATAAAATAGCTTCAAATGCTGTTTAAAGTCAAAACATCAGAAGGGGAGTCAAAGCTAGGAACAATTCAACATTAGATTTTAAACATTTGAAAAAACATCAGAATTTGTCAAGTCACTCTGATTGTTAAATAAACGCATTACACAGAACGAGAAGAACTCCGATTTCTACACGATAAACGTTCAGAATCTGAGTGAACAGAAGCATCATACCAACAACACACGGTCAACACGCTTTAACGAGTAAAAAAAACTAATCTAATCTAATCATAGTTTTATCTGTGTTCAAAGTAAACTAGAGGTTTATTAACAGTCTGTTCATCTGGTTCACTGTGTGTCACTTTAAGGAGTTTCACATGTAATTACTGCTCACATGAATCATTCAGTGGAAGACACAGGAGTGAGGGTCAAGTGGGAGAATAAACAAAGACCTTAAGGGGAACCTAAGATGCTTTCACATCTACACTCCTGAACATATATGGATCATTTCAGGAGGACTGCTCTGGATATTCTCCTGATCTGGTTGTTCACATATGCACCTCACAGCGGGACACTATCCCTGTCAGACAGGGACCCTTTTCGGGGGAATTAAGGTGATATAATTTGGATCCCTACAGAGAAAGACGGTTCTGTTAAAAGGGAGGATACTACTCCTGGAACCAAAAACAGCCATTACATCTCTCTCTCTTTACAGCCACCAAACTACATCGAGAAAAACAGTCATTTAAAGAGTGAAATACAGGGCAGCGGCTGATCTGCTGCTGGCTGAATCTGTCAGTTTGTTTGTTATTGTGTGAATTTGATGTTTAAATGGTGAGTTTCAACACAGCACAATCTTTGTTTAACCATAAATGAGGCCAAACGTGGTAGACAAGCATCTCCTGTGTAACTTTAAGTAAAATCAATGTCTGTGGATGAGGTTTGGTGCATTTGTAGAAAGCTATTAAACAGCTTTTTGTCGTCACAGTCTACTCCATAAGATCAGGAAGACTTCTGTTCACCAGCTGCTAAAGTTGCTCTCTTCACAGCCAGACTCCATTGATAAAAAGAGAAGTTTTACCTTGCAGAACATGTGAGTTGCTTTTTCTGTTTGCTCTCTTGATCAGTTAGTTTATTTTGTTATTGTGGGACTCTGTGTGTTTTGAATTGTTTGATTTGATCCATCAAAATGTCTTTTTACCACACGATAACACGATAACGATATTATGAACTGACTGAGGCAGTGGTACACGATAGCCTCCATGTTCTGCAGGATAAAATGTCTGTTGTTGTCAAAGCAGTGTGGTGGTCTGAACGAGACATTAATGTAACAGCTGTTTCTGGTTTCCTCTTGAACAGAAGGTCTACATCCCTGTAGTGATCCTTTAGTTAAAATAACGGCCTGAGCGTACTGTGATCAGGCTCTTCAGCCGTTACAGCCTGTTTCAATGCTGCAGGCTTAAGTCATCTGCAGGACCGACTTCAAACATATGTTTCCTTTACACACCTGTTACAGGTGACAAGGGAAAAGGTTAAAAAACAGTGGAAGTAACAGTCCATCAGTCACCATGTGTAAGAGCAGCGGTTCTGCTGGAGGAGTTTCACACATTAAATTACTGCCCACATTAATGATTCAGTGCTGGACGAGGAATGAGGGTCAACGTGAGTCAACAGTTTTTTATGACTCGCTTCACTTAGAGGCTCAAAGTGGGACAGTAAAGCGCCTGAAGGCAGAACGCATAATTAACTCTCTTTGGGATTTTTTATACTTGAATGGTTGTAAACAATCGGGGTCTGACCGGGGACAGAATTCAGCCGCGGTTACTTCTTCCATCTCTGAACCTTATTTTGGATTATTAAGAAACTTGTCTTTTCTCAATAAGCCTTCTCAAGCACATTTTCTTTCTTTTTTCTCTCTCTGACTTTTTCTCGTCCTCGATTAAATTCCCTCCTTCTGTCTGGGGTCCATCGGTCATTTTCAGCTGGACCTCTGATACCACCAGGACAAATCAACATGAACAGTCACACCTGCCTCAAAGGAACAGAAACAAAATGTTGGGGTTGTGTAATCTCGAATCAGAACAGCTGTTCTAAGATCTGTTCTGACTCTGCTGATTTCATCTGCCTGAGTTTGTTTATATTTGTTAACGCTGGCGATTTGTGCTTCAGACTTCTGTTCTGGTTTTTTGTCGTTTTGTCAGAGTGAAGATACTTTACAACAAATCATGAAGTCTTAACTTTCATTGGAGTCCTGTTATGAGAGGATTCAGATTTTAAAAAAGCTGTGATCACACCTCCTCATTAAAATGATTTTTACAACGATGCATTTTAAAAAGAGTTCAAATGATTGATATATGATTAAATAAGTGAACACAACTGTACAACAAAGTATTCTTCAGGTTGTCTGATTCTAAACATCACGTGTCCTATTTGATCGAAGAACGCCTGCACTGATTGGATGCAAGCAAAGTCCCTCAAATCCACATTCATTATAGATCTGAGGAAGGTTATCTTATCTTTATATAGAACTTTGTAAAAGAAGGTGAATGTTGCAGAGTTTGCAGAAAGGACACACGGAGGGTTTATCTCCAAACTTAGAGAAACGTGATGATCCAGGAAAGTTGTTGGTGAGCGATGAATCCGTCTTTTTGAGTCTGTCTAAGCGTGTTTGGTTGTCAGACCTGGTCGCTGCCCTCCCTGAAGTACACCTGCTCCCACACCACGGTGCCCCACAAGCAGAAGAAGCCCCACAGGTTGTGGAAGGTTCCGCGGTCGAAGGGGTTCTCGTCGGCGCCGCAGTGTTTGAGGTAGGAGATGCGGTGGCGAGACATAAACTCCCAGGTGGTGGTGTTGAGAGAGACCAGGTACAGGTGAGAGCCGAGCAGCAGCAGCACGATGAGGGAGAGCAGGGCCACGAGGACGGCCACCGTCAGCAGCGTGGCGTTAGTCCGCAACCAAAGCTGCCAGGTGGGCGCGAAGCTGAACCCCGTCCTGACCAGAGAAGAAGAAAGAGTTAGAGCAAAGTTAACCGTGCTTTACATCCATTGAGGACGGCTCAACGAATGTTTGTCAACAGACACGGTTTCTGCAAAGATTTCAAATGAGCAAAAGAAAAACAACACAGTACGTAAAGTAAATCAGGGAAAGATAAAAACGTATTTAAAGATTGAAACGCTTCGTTCTCCTCACCAGGCGATGTGCAGCCCCCACAGTAGCACCAGCAGCTGAACGCCGAGGTACAGAACGAACCAGCGGTGGTTTTTCTCTCCGACACAGTTCTCGATCCACGGGCAGTGATGGTCGTACCGCCGCACACAGTGCTGACACGTCTGGCAGTGCTTGGATCTCATTGGCTGCTGCTCGGAAAGAAGGGAAGCTCAGTGAGAGGGCCAAAGACACGTTTTAAATATACGACAAACTGCAGCATTTAGATGTGTTACTGAAAACAGACTCTCCACATTCAGAACATGGATCAAAAGGAAACCCTTAACACCTGGAGATCATTAGATTCTCATGAGAGCACTAAAACACATTAGTGTCACTCTGTATAACCTTCTCTTATATTCTCTCTATGTAAACACTCAAAATACCAACTTCCCCAGGCTATAGAGAAACCTGTACCAAGACACGACCTCCAGGGTTGAGACATCAAGTCCAGAAATCTGCAGTACCTCAAAGGCGGGCTCCAAAAGTGAGTCGATTCTCACAGAGCCCGACTTTACAGCAGGACTAAACTCTCTCTCTCTCTTTGATACTTAAGTCTGATACATAAACACACTCAGTCAGATACCAAACAAAGAAGCACACTCTGTGAGAAACACAACGGTTAAATAGTTAACTGTCCGGATAATGAGCTGTTGTTGATATAAAAATCAATAAAAGTCATGCTGATGCTCTGTGAAATGTCACCGTCTGATTTCAATCTGTTTTCTCTCAGGTTTACAGCCAGGACGGATTAAAGCCTCCGTCGTCCTGTTCAGTGTTCTGTGAAGCTCATTTTGATCACTGGTGTGAAAAAATAGCTGCTGTTGCTCATCAGCCTGGAAAAGTGAAAAAAAAAAAGAAAAGTGAAGTGCAACGAGATCTGTGAGGCTGCAGACCTTCATCAGGACACAGTTCACACACGAACCATCTGTCACAGAGCAACAGAGAAACATCCAGGGAGCGGCAGACTTCTCGTTTCTGTTCTTACAGCTCCATGAAATATCAGAATGATTCACTTTTTAGATTTCAGTGTGAGGAGGAAAAAGCTGCATCCAAAGATCCTGAGAGTTTATCTGAGAACACTCTGATAATCTCCAGTTGTAGTATTGAAAACAGTGACACTCTGAAGCTTTACACTGAAGCTGTTATGACTGCTCATCTTCTGAAGCATTGTGATAGAATGACCCTTTAGGTCCAGAATTAACTTCTGATCTTTGACACAGACTGTGAGATGATGTTTAAAGCTCCAACAGTCAGTCAGAGGAACTTACATCACATTCATCTATGAAGAAACACATGAACACTTTGAGTGCTTCGCTGTGAAAAACAGGAAACTGTATTAAGGTAACTTTTGCATCAGAGAGAAGTCTATGTTAAGGACTGTTCTTGTTGGTTAACTAAAGTTCATAAAAGAGTCCGTGTGAATTTGAGGTCACGACTGTAAAATGTGGACATGTCCTTTAATACACAGCACTGTAAACGATGATCCTGGCTCGAGCCGTTGTTCTGCTTGGATTTCACAGACAGAAGGTTAAAAACACACTCCTGCTGCATCATTTCATGTGTTGTGCTGACAGGAGGACATGCTGCTGTGTAACACAGACGTGTGTTACTTGACAACACATCTATCTGATACGACCAGATGATCCGACAAGTACTGTACGAGTTCAAGAGTCATGTTTCAGCCTGAGAGCTACGCTAACACGGCGTCCACAGACAGCTAATCAATCAGCAATCAATTAATTCATCCTGCAGGCCGAGACAAACGGGCGGCATCTGGAGCTCTTCCTCTGTTATCACTTAAACTCATTAAGGACAAACAGGACTACACTCTGTTAAACGCCCCGGACGATGACCCTACAGCAACTATCAAGGATCAACTATCCTATCAACTTTCAAAACTTTGATTTCTACGTTTAAGTTAGCCAGGCATTTTATTTTATTTAACCAGGTAGTTAATGTCGGTATAAGAAAAATATGCCATGTGAGAGAACATTGTTCAAAATTGCTATAACAATATGAAAAGTCCATCCTCTCCGTCTTCTGCCTGCTCCACTTTTCAGAAAATGTGTGCTCAAACAGGCCGTTTGGAGATTTTCCCTTCATGACATCACAAAGGGCAGTAGCCCCTCCCCCAGGTGGGTGACACTCCCACAGCTAGGTGTTTGTTCAGCCCTCTGAGTCTGCCTTCTCACCGTAAACAATAGGAGATGGAGAGAGAAAGACCGAGTACACCCAAGTCCTTCCAGAGAGGGGGTGTGGTCAGACACAGCTCATTTACATATTTAAAGGTACAGACACAGAAACAGCCTGTTCTGAGCAGGGCTGAAATAGAGGGGTTTATAGACATGATCAAATACAGGATCAGAGTGGATTTAGAACAAGAAACTTCACACTCATGTTTTGAGGAGCTCTGAGACTTATTTACACTGATTGAAGAGGAGGATATGTGACCTTTAAAATTGTTTTTCATTTATTGTGATAAATTCAGACTTTTGTTTTGTGTATATTGCCAATGCTCATATCGCAATAATGTTAAAATCATGATTTTTTTCCTAGCCCGAGTTCAAGCATCATCTTTGATCCAATTACAACAAATGAATCGCACACAGGAGTGTGCACAAATGACGGGCAGCTCACCTGCAGCAGACAGTGACCACAGCGTCTCTGACGCAGAGATTTGGTGGAGGGGGGGATCATATCCTGCTGCTCCTCTGTCACTCCCAGAGTGAACTGAACAACAATACAGACATATTGTTCATTTTCACATCCTCACATACGTATTACAAGGTTTTTTATCAGAACGAGAAAAGCTGATCTGTGAGAGGTAAATAAATGATCCAAACATTACTGAAATGACCTGGAGCAAAACAAACTCTAAATCAGATCAATTCCCCTCCCTGACGTGACGAAACAGGAATGCATCATTCACCTGCTGAAGAGCATAACTCACCTGTAAGTCGCTGTCATCAGAGAGGATGAATCCTGGATCCATCAGAGAGACGGCGAAGTAGAGCAACACTGACACCAGCACGAGCAGGACGAAGAGCACGGGCTGGACCAGCTGACCCGTCTCCTCCTGCTTCCTCAGCTCTTCAGACAAAACGCACACAAGACAAAGTTTTCAAACACTGATGACACGCTCAAAGGCTCGGGAGAACCCTACTTCATACATTGAAGCTACATTAAATATAAAAGCCAATCTGGTAGATTTCTTCCTCAGCTAAACAGAAACAGATTTGGCTTTTTGGTCTCTCTGCACATTCAAAAGATGTCTCAATGATCGTTTGAGTGTCACAAATATAGTCTAAGCAAAAGCACCAAGCACATTGTGTTTATTAAAAAGAGGAAAGCCTGATTCTACTTTCATGACATTTAAATGTGGAAAAGCCTGAGGGTTTGAATCCTTACACAAGTCACTGTATGATATGACTCTGTTTTCTTTACGTACACACAAATGGAAACACTGTTAGATTTAAACACGGATCACTATTTTAACTTCACACTGAATAACTATGTAATAACTCAACACAAGAACCCACCCGACCAGGAGGAGCAGGTTTCATCAGTGTCTGTAGTATCATATTATTACTGAAGAGAAGAAGGTGTTTACCTGTATCATGTAGGAAGAGTATGAGCGTGATGACCCATGTCAGAATAACATGAGCTGTTCTCACCAGAAACCCTGAGCCGAACACATTCTTGAACATGGTCCTAGCATGTTAGATCATCCACCGCAGGCTGCATGGATGGACCTGGGATGTAACCCTTACAGGAGAGTCTGTCAGAGGCTGTGACAACGATTTCATTAACTAAAAACAAAGATATCAACAAAGATATCAACAACAAATATCAACACCCCGCGGCTGAAAGCAAAACAAGCTAACGAACTGTAATGTGACCGTTAGCCTGCTGCGTTCAAACTCTTTGCTTCACTGAACGAAGCCAAACATTTAATAAAATAAAGGTATAAAAACTCATTATTTTAATGTCATCCTATTATAAAGTATTTAATAATTAAACCGAGTAAAAGCCGTCGGTATAACGCAACACAACCCGTCCTCTTCGTCGCTTCAGTGCATCTCTGGTTTGTTGCTGTCTCTTTGACAGGCTCAGCTGTGATTGGTCCGCACTAATGACGTCACGGTCCAGGATTGGTGGGCGAAAGGGAAGTTTTTTTGGAAGCGCGAGGTTTAAAAAAAAAAAAAACTTTATTCAACATTTTATTTAATCAATAATTAATCGCAAAATTGATAAATTATCACACTATAATTCTGTTTGTCATCTACACATTTAAACTTTTTGTAGTTTAATTGTTTTTTCACAATTATATCGTAAACTTTAATTTAATTAGATGTTTAATTAAGTGGATTTAACAGTTCGACTCATCTGAGGGAAATGTCTCATAAATGTGACTCATAACCTTAATATTTAGTCTATGGTTATAACCCAGTTAAGTAGCCTTCTATACATTTATTAATATCATAATAACCTATACTCATACTTTGACTAAAATTTAACAATATTTTAATCATCGTTTTAAATTTGGTTTGGTTTTGATTCAAGGATTCCACATTTTATTATTTCATTTATTTTAAATCATTATCGTCTCAGTCTAGGAGTCTCTATTCTTTAGTCTAGTATTGTATCTATTGTTGTCAATGTCTGTTTTGATTTCCTGTCAGTCTGTTCTTTTGTGAAGCACTGTTAGCTTCATTCCTTCATGTATGAAAAGTGATTTATTAATTGGAGTTAAATGGTTTAATATTAACTCTGACTTCTAAATTTAAAAGAGGTTTTAAATGAGAGTCAAATGTATTCACTAAAAACCACAAGAGAGGAGACACGCTGAGGTATTTGATGATGTATTTTTTGTCATGTTTAAAAAAGACAAGTTCATATAAATTCCCAAAACTCAATTATTGTCCTTCGCTTGTTTTCAAGCGAGCACTTGGTATATAAGATGATAGTAAACCTTTCACATACAGGTTAAAACAATGTTGTAAAACATGCTTTCCTTCTTGGATAGAAACTCCCTCTAAACATCTGTTCAAGGTTTTTATCTCCATCATGAACTCCACCAAGCAGGAATCTCTGCTGTTTATCAGACAAATCATCACTGAGCCTGCAGCTCTTTGGCCTTTTTTTCATCCAGGACGATCGGAGTCTGCAGAGTTCTTCCCTTCAGCAACGACTCCAGACCCTGCAGGACGAAGACAGAGGGGAGGTTTGATTATTAATCCATTTTACTGTCAATTAGAAATGGATCATCATCATGGTAAAAAACACAGAAAATGAAAAGTGTGTTTAATGTCTGCAGATTCATTTAATTACAAGTGGAGAAAATTAAAAATGTAAGGAGTAACATGTTAATAACTGTAACCCAACAACTAGAATCACTCTGAAAAGGGAATCTTTTCTCTACTATCTCTAACAGATCTGTTGTCACGTTCATATTCTCACCTCTCCAAAGTAAGAGACCAGCGGTGAAATCTCACATCGTGCCTGAGGAGTATCACCTGCAGAGAAACTAGAAAACAAAACACAAACAGATGTTTACATTTACTAGTTCTATCATAACTCAATGCTAAAAACACTTGTGTTTACTCATTGTTCACATATTTTATTGTTCCAAGCAGGTTCCTGCCGGTTGTCCAAACTAGGATCAATATTGGAGATGCTTTTGAAAAATGGAGAGAGGTTAGAACACAGAAAGGTTTACAGACCGATGCAGAGCTGGATAAACACTGAAGCTTCAGTATCTGCAACATGGCAACCTGCGTGAGCATGGACTCTAGAGAGGAGGGGGGAGACAGCTCTCTACAATGTTTAGAATTTAGACTGCAGTACCCATTTTAAACACTAGGGGTCAGATTTACAGATCGCTCCTTTAACGTCGCTCTGAGCTTTAAGTCTCGTGTGTTTGGTGCTTTATGAAAGTTCTGTGAAAACGGTCTCAGTTAAAGGAACGTGTCCCTCTCACCTCGCTGTAGGAGGAACAGTATTCCCTTGTTCATCCGTCAGCGTTGCTCCTGCGTCCGCGGCCCAGCGACAGTGTTGATTCAGCAGAGAGTTTCTGGCCGTGGTTGGGCTGTCTGTCGACGCTCCGTCTGCGTTCTTCAGCGGGGAGAACTCATCCTCCCTCACAACCTCAAACGCAACAAAGTTCCTACCAAATAAATGCAGTCTGTTAAAAAGTGTTAAAGGGAAAACAACAGAAGACGAGGATAAACCAAAGATAAAGGACAATACCTCGAGAATGGAAAAATGTCAAACACAAATTTCTCCATCTTTATGCCGTTTGGTTTCGTGGGTTTGACTTGATTTCCACACGAGTCCACGTAGGGCACCTTCTTCAGTGCGACGTGTTGTTTGAGTTGGTCTTTAAATATCCTGTGAGATGAAAAGAAGGGCATGAATAATCACAATTAGTGCACGTCGAAACCTTGGTTTTACACCTTAATAAATATAAGTCATTCATGTGCTCCTGATTTTGGTTTCTGCCTGTGTGTCCTGTCCTTCTGAGGAATCAGATTTTTTTTAAAGATTTTTTGTGGGTCTTTTTGCCTTCAGTAGAGAGGACAGCTGAAGAGAGACAGGAAGTCCTGGGAGGAGAGAATGGGTGGCGACATGCAGAGAAGGGTCGAGGCCGGATTTGAACACATGGCCACTGCGACGAGGACCAAAGGGGGAGGGGCTGAAACGCAGGAGACTCCTTCTACCTGTCTTTTAAGGGACGTAGTTCTGAAGAGTGTTAATGATGTGCAGACTTTGACTGATGAGGGGGGGCTAAAGGAAAGACAAGGATGTCAACAAAATCTTTAGTCATCACCTGCTGAGGAGCTGTTTGCAGGTAAGGAAGAGAAACTTTTGCAATAGTTTTGCAAAATCTCAAAAGTATTGGGAGACCTTGAAATAGTTTCATGCAAAGGTTTCTTGGGATCTCTCTGAGGTTCCTAAAAAATAACCTAAACCTGCTCTCCCACCATGTCCGTTTTTTTTTTCCTTTCTCTGGAACTAACTATCATTTTTTTTCTGTAGGAGATGAGGGATGAGGATATTTGATGTGAAACAGGGAGACGTGTCTCTGAATCTGCTGCGTCTCAGGATAAGAAATTGATTGCGAACACATTTCCTTCACCAAACTTCTGAGCGACGATGTGTCAATGTTTGGTTTACAGCTGGTGAACAAACATGAACCTCACATTCAGATACTCAGTATGAGTCTGGGTTTCTGTTCCTCTCATGCTGCGCTGCGTCAAAGGTTCTACATTAAGGGTTCTTACTCTGCCACGTCCTGCAGGAATGCTCTGCTAACGAAGTGATTGCAGATGTTTCCGGCGCTGAACACCAGCTCTCCTCCGGGTCCTCGCAGCTCGGCCGTCTCTGGTCGGATCTCGCTGTACTCCACCACCTGTGTGACGCCCTGCACCCTGCAAACCACGCCCACTGGCTCTGCAGGACACGCCTTCTCCACCACCTGATCAAGACACGTAGGAGAGGACAGGCCCGATGAAAAACACAGGAGTTCAAACCTAGAATGTTCCTTCACCTAGATTTACATTTTATTCACTTCTTCCATTTTGAGAAAACAACATCAAGTCTACCTTTGCTCCACAGTCGGCCCCTCTGCTCACACAGAACCCGATAAACACGGGGTCGGCCATCTTGACCAGGATGTTGTCCACACAGTAAACGTGCAGGTACTCCACCCCCCTCTTCTTCATGTCCTCCAGCACAGCGTTGTCCACCAGAGCCTGGTACAGACCTCCGTTCCCATCTGACATCAAAGGTGGAGGGAAAGGGTTTCAAACACGATCTCAAACCAATCCTGAACACACCTCAAAGGTTAAAGGTCAAAAAACCCACACCGACCTGGAGCCATGGCGATCTTCCCCTTCCCCTGCAGGATGACCTTTCCATCAAAAGTCACGGCTGGGATCATCCTCTGCTCGAACATGACGACGTCTGACGGCTTCAGACCAAAGTAATCGTTCTCCTTAAAGAACGCCTCTGTAGGCGCCAGAGTGAACTCGCTGGTCATGATGTACCTGAGAAAGATGCAACAGTACAAACACGTTTGAACTGTTGTATTCATTTGTTTATTCTCTAGAATATAAGACAACTTTTTGTCTTAAAGCTAATATTTTAAGACCCTTTTATTACAAACTTTTAAATTTCCCCAGATTATTTTTTAATCCTGCTTCAACACTGTTATCTAATATATAACACTGGAATTTCTTGGTGTAGTTTTTCAACTTTTTTTAAACTCTTTCCAAGTATAAATATGAATGAAGAGGTGGGAGCATGTTGCAGAAATGTTTTATACTCTTCCGCGAATGTGCTTTATCTGAAAATTAAAACGTATAATCCTCACTTGAGTGCTTTCTCACACACGCATTCTTGAATATTTCAGGACAAGCTGCCCAAATCTTCCTGAGTTGTTCATTCACACGACATACACCTCACAGCCAGAAGTGTTTCCTGTTGGACGAGGTCGGGGGTCTTCGGGGGTCTTATGTGCACTGTAGTGTTTACAACATATTCAAGATGGCAGATGGTGCCAGATGATGACAGTTTTCCCCTGTATATCAATGCTGCATGAAATCAGACAAATTCACAGTATGAATGATAATGAAAGAGTTTGAAGCAGCTTCATTACGTGTTTGAAGACTGAACCAGTCGCACAGCAGTAACGGGATGTTAACATCCGCACCCCCTGCTCGCTCTCCTGGTGAATTGATTGATTGAACTGCCTTAACATGTCGCTTCACTTCGACTGCATGCTAACGTTTTACAAGAGGGCTTGCAGGAAAAAGTCCAGATAGAATTTGTCCGTCTGCGTTCACACACGCAGCTCATCATGAACGTTTCAGGACATTTTCAGGAATTTTGTACAATTGTTAAAGAGCTTAGTAATGCATGTACGATCAGATAATCTCACCATGGAACGGTACACTTGGCCCCTTGCGGTCTCTCTGCCAGCTGTTGGATTTTATGAATTCTCTCAGCTTGGATCTGATAGAGGGTCTTCCTGCTCGGCAGCCCGACGTCGTACATCCCTTTGGGATACTGAACGCCGAGACGGG